CTAAGAGAGAACAGGGAAAAGAGAAAGTGGGGGTGCGGCATGGAAGTCAAGTTGAAGGGCACATAAAGAAGAATAGATATGGACAGCAAGGAACAAAAAGCTAGAGTAAGTAGCACAAAGAAAGAAGTAATAAGAGAGAAAAAAAAAGGGAAAAGAACCAGTGAAAGCGGAAAAAATGGCAAGAAAAAGGGGAAAGAGAAGGAGAAAGAGAGATAAAACGTAGAGAAAACCAGGCAGAAAGAGAAAATAATAGGGCGAAGAGAGGAGTAACAGGAGGAATTGGCAAAGAGAGAAGGAAAAGTGGAGAAAAACTGGGAAAGAAAACCAGAAAATACAGAGAGAGAAAAAAACACAGCGAGGTATAGAGAGAGAGTAAATGGGGGGAAGAGAGAAGTAAAAAGAAGTATTGGCAAAGAGTAAGAAAAAAAAAAAGAACGAAAAATTAGAGAAAAAGAGACGAATCAAAAAAAAGGGAAAATAGGAGTAACGGGCACGAGAAAAGTGAATTAGAGAAGAGTGAAAAAAGAACAAACAGAGAAAGAATTGAAAATCGTGGTCCGAGACCACAAAAACCCTACATTTTTCGAATAAGCACGTCGAACTACGTTCCAGAATATTTTGCGGATTTTTAATCAATTTTTTCAAAATCTCAAAATTTCTAATGATAACTTTTTTTGTTGTACTATTAATTGTTACAAGATTTATTTCTTATTTTAGAAGAAAAATAAATGGGGGAACGGGTGGGTGGGCGGGGCTAAGTTTAACTTTTTTCTAGAGAGTCTTATAGACAAGCTCTATCCCCGCCCACCCTCACTCATTTCATTCCAAATATTACTCTTAATATTGCTCAATCTTATCTTAACAAGTACTAGCCCCGCCCACCCCCCTCTCTTCTCATTCTAGCGACTAATTTTATTTCTGTATAAGATCCACTTTTCATTCAGTGCAGATAAAATTGATCATAGAAGTGGAGGCGGGCGGGTGGGCGGGGTTTAGGTATATGTTCCTTAGAATGAGAGTGGTAACTGATAGAAATAAGGCTGTAAAAAAAGCGCTAATAGTAGTTGCAAGAACTAGCCCCACCCACCCACCATCTGTTTTCTTAGAGGTATGTGACTTGCAAAATCAGTCTTATCTAGGCAAGTACTAGCCCCGCCCACCCTCCCTTTTCTCATTTCAGTGACTAATTTTATTTCTGTATAAGAACCACTTTTCATTCAGAGCAGATAAGATTGATCACCGAAATGGAGACGGGTGGGTGGGCGGGGTTAGTTTTATTTTCTTCTGTAGAGTGGGAGTGGTAAATAATATAATATACAATTTTGAAGATTTCATTTAAAAAATGAATTCTAAGAGAAAACGAAAAAAGAGAGTGGGGGTGCGGCATAGAAGTCAAAAGAGAAAAATAGAGGTATCCAGTGAAAGGGGCAAAAAGACAGAGTAAGTAGCACAAAGAAAGGAGTAATAGGGGAGGAAACAAAAAGAAGGGAAAAAAACAGTGGAAGTGGAAATGACAGCCGGAAAAAGGGGAAAGAGAAGGAGAAAGAGAGATAAAACGTAGAGAAAACAAGCTAGAAAGAGAAAATAATAGGGCGAAGGGAGGAGTAACAGGAGGAATTGGCAAAGAGAGAGAAGGAAAGATGGAGAAAAAGAGTGGAAAAAGAAAACAAAAGGACAAATAACGAACAAACGCGGAAAAGACGAGAGAAAGACAGAAAGCAGAGAGAATGTAAATGAAAAACAGATAAAAGAAAAGCTGGGGGAAGAGGAGAAAGAGTGTTAAAGAGAAAGCCAACAAATATAGAGAGGTGGGAAAACTAGAAAAGAGGTGGGAGTATGGGAGAGAAATTGACAAGACTGTACATAAAGAATGGTGGAGAGGTATAGAATGAAAGGGGTAGAAAGAAAGGAGCAAGAGAAGAGTAGAATGAGGAGAAACAAAGAGAACGAAAAAACCAGGAAACGGGAACAAAAAGAGAAAATAAGAAGGGGGAAGTGAGGAGTACCAAGAAGATAACGAAGAATTGGCAAAGATAGAGAAAAAGAGAATGAAAGAAAGCGGAAAGAGAGAGGACGGTAAAACGGAAGTAATGGGAGGAAAGACAGAGAATGGGCAGGGAGAGAAAAAGAAGAGTGAGTAAGAGAACAAAAGAAAAAAAAACGGAAAGGAAGAGACAAAGAGAGAGGTGAAGAAAAGAGAAAACTCGGGGAGCATAGAGGGATAAATGAGGAAGGAAATAGTGACGGAAGAGGAGAAAAAATGAGGAAGTGTCAGAAAATAATATAGCGATAGAGAGAACGGAAAAAAGTGGGGAGACAAATTGAGAGAACGCCACACATCCAAGCGTAAAGACTTATATGAAGGCGCAAAAAGAAAGGGTTGAAGTAGGGAGAAGAGACGAGTAACAGGAGGAGAAACAACGAGAACGAAAAAGAACCATAAAAGCGGGAAAAGATGGGAGGAAGGGAGGGAAAAAGTCGAGAAGGAGAGCGAGAGATGAAAGCTACAGAAGAAGGAACAGAAAGAGCAAATAAGAATGAGGCAGGAAGGAGTAATATGAGAAAATGAAAGAAGTATTGGCAAAGAGAGCGAAGGAATCAAAAAAAGAGGAAAACAGGAGTAACAGGGAAAAGCAGAATGGACACGAGAGAAGTGAATAAGAGAAGAGTGAAAAAAACAGAAGATAGGAGAAAAGAGGGGAGGAAAAAAGAGAAATCCGGGGGAAAAGGAAAGAGAACAAAAAGTGGGAAACGAAGCCACAAAATATATAGAGAAAAAAATTGAGGCAACGGCACACAGCCAGGTATAGAAAGAAGGGATAGAAAGAGAGTAAATAGGCGGAAGAGAGAAGCAAAAAGAAGTATTGGCAAAGAGAGAGAAGGAAAGAAAATAACGAAAAATTAGAGGAAAAAAGACGAATAAAAAAAAAGGGAAAAAGAGGAGTAACGGGAGAAGAGCAGCACGGGCACGAGAAAAGTAGATAAGAGAGGAGCGAAAAAAAGAACAAAAGGAAAAAGAATAAAAAATCGTAATCCGAGACCACAAAGACCCTATATTTTTCGAATATTATAAAATTTATTTCTTATTTCAGCGGAAAAATAAATGGGAGAACGGGTGGGTGGGCGGGACTAAGTTTAACTTTTTCCTAGAGAGACTTATAGACAGGCAATAGCCCCGCCCACTCTCATCCATTTCATTCCAGTTACTACCAGTAATATTGTTCAGTATTATCGTTGCAAGTACTAGCCCCACCCACCCACCCTCTGTTTTCTTAGGGGTATGTGACTTGCCAAAGTCAGTCTTATCCTAACAAGTACTAGCCCCGCCCACCCTCCCTCTTCTGATTTTAGCAGCTAATTTTATTTCTGTATTCATTCAGACGAGATAAAATTTATCACCGAAAGGAGGCGGGTGGGTGGGCGGGCCAAGATATTTGTTCTTCTGTAGAGTGGGATCGAAATTAGCCTGTAAAAAAAGCGCAAATGGTGACTTTTTTGTTGTATTATTTATTATAAAATTTATTTTTTATTTCAGAAAATTAATGAGAGAGATTATAAGATTTATTTCTTATTTCAGAAGAAAAAATCAGAGAACGGGTGGGTGGGCGGGGCTAATATTAGCTTTTTACTAGACAGTCTTATAGGCAAGCAATACGCGCACCCACCCGCCCCCTCTTCATTCTGGTGACTACTTTTAGTACTGTTGATTATTGCCTTATTAGAATCTTCGGCAAATTTGTTAAACCGTTGGTGAGAAAAAAGATATTTTTTTTTAATTTCAAAAATTACCAAAACACATTTTCTTGTAGATTTTGACCTCTAGAAGTTATAGTGGGCTTCGTTTCTCTTACGATTTTTTCGGAATCGCCTCTTGAAATATGACAATTTTTAAGATTTCATAAAAAAATTGAATTCCAAGTCGAATATTCCGAAAATCGTGATCGGAGACCACAGACTTCCTATATTTTTCGAATAAGCACATCGAGATCTACAACCCAGAATTTTTTGACGATTTTTAGACAACTTTTTCAAAATCTCAAAATTTCCTTATGAAAGATTTCATACATAAATTGGATTAACCCATTTCATTCCAGTTACTACTCTTATTATTGTTCAGTCTTATCGTTGCAAGTACTAGCCCCACCCACCCACCCTTTTTTTCTTAGAGGTACATGACTTGCCAAAATCAGTCTAATCTTAGCAAGTACTAGCCCCGCCCACCCTCAGAGCAGATAAAATTAATCATTGAAATGGAGGCGGGTGGGCGGGCGGGGTATATGTTTTTCTGTAGAGTGGGAGTGAGAACTGAGCGAAGTTAGGCTGCAAAAAAGTCGCTAATTGTGACGTTTTTGTTGTATTTGTTATAAAAGTTAGTTCTTACTTCAGAAATAAAGAATTTTTTGCCGATATTTAGGAAATTTTTTCAAAATGTCAAAATTTCCAGTTGTGAAAATTTCGACCATTTTCGAAAATTACCTAAATACATTTTCTTGTAGATTTCAACCTCTAGAAGTTATTTTCGGCTTCGTTTCTCCGATGACTTACAATTATGTCGGAATCGCCCCTTGAAATATGCCAATTTTTAAGATTTCATAAAAAAAATTAAATATTTCGAAAATCGCACAAACACGCTATATTTTCTTGCGAATTTTTAGACATCTTTTTCAAAATCTCACTTTTCCAATATGAAAATTTTGACGCTTCGCCAAATCTCTTGATTCCAATCACCTCCCTAAACGAACGAAAATTGCCAAAATGAAAAACCCAATTACGCCAAGATCAGTCGCTAATGAAAGGGTTCCGGATGAAATTAAAGCCGCCCTGAAGCAACGGAAATTTCGCTGATGAGATTCAAAGTGCTTTCTGGGCCGGCGACCCGGGGCAAAAATTGGGGGAATCGCAGCCAATTTGCGTCCATTGTGCTCGAACTGGCAACGATTTTCCTAATCATAATCCGATTTTTCCGCCCGACATTCGAAATAAACAACCAAAAATTGCAGGAGCGCCGAATCGTACGCTTCGTACGTCGAAAACATGCCCTGGCTGATCGTCCCGTGGCAGCAGGCCGCGGTCAGGGCCGAACTGGCCCAGCTATACGGCATCCGCGGCATCCCCACGCTGCTGCTGCTGGACCGAAACGGGCACATCATCACCACGGACGCCAGGACCGAACTGGCCGAAGACCCCATGGCGCAGGTAATAACTCTCACACATTATCACCATCATCATCATTATTATTATTATTATTATTGTTATCATTGAAGAACTTCCCGTGGAAGCCGCGCGCCGTCAACATCCTCACCGAGCGCTACGCCAACAAACTCCACGACTACCCGGCGATCGTTCTGTTCGTGGGTGAGTTAAGTAATCTTAACCTAGATAAGTAATCAAACTACTTACATGTTTGTTTCGTTTATGGCTGCTTGTTTTATCTTAGTAGTGCACTATCAGTTTCACTCAAACACAACATCAAAACATCCTCTATAATCCAAAAAAAGAAATGACGTCTTGCGCTTTTTTCCTTGTTTGGTTCACCAATCTCGTGATTGGTAATTTATGGGAACGTAAATACAGTGGTGGTTGTGAGCAGGGCAGGACTCTTGAATTTATCGCCCGGTTGTTGTCAGTATGACGTATTATGTCGTTTTTAAGAGTGTGGACTAGTGTAGAGTGTTAGAGAGGAATATAGACATGTTTAATGTGAAAAATTTTTTATTCGTTGTCAGATAGAGGGGCGGAGTTTAATTGCAAAATCCGTATTTTTATACAAAAATTTACCATTTTAAATATGTTTTAGGTTTCTTCTTCTTCTTTCGATCTCCTTCCCTTTTGAGAGAATAAGAATATTCATTCCCTATTTTTTCTCAAAATAGTCTATGTTATACAATACGATCATGCCTCAAACATATGGACTTTGCAGTTAAGCTCCGCCCCTCAATCTCATAACGAATAAAAAATTTATCACAATTGAGACAGGGGTGGGTGGGTGGGGCTTAATTTTTGACTGTTTTTTCTTAACATGTGTAGTTTTCTTTCAACAATACGATAGTCAAAACATATTCAATATGGTATTTTCTTGCGGAACTTTGCATTTAAGCTCCGCCCTTCGCCTCACGACGAATAAAAAGATTTATTACACTTGAGATAGGGCGGGTGGGTGGGGCTTATCCGTTGATTTTCTTAATACACATTCTTAGTCTTTTTTGAACAATAAAATACTTAAAATATCGAATCGTAAATTTCAGGATAGAATTATATTTTAAATATCGTGTTGTTCAAAATAAGCATACTTACAATAAGAAAAAGAAGCCAATAATTAAGCCCCGCCCACCCGCCCCATCTCATTTGTGATGAATTCTTTATTCGTTGTCGGACAGAAGGGCGGAGTTTAATTGCAAAATTCATATTTTTCTACAAAAATTACCATTTTAAACATGTTTTAGGTTTCTTCTTTTTCTTTCGATCTCCTTTTGCTTTTGAGAGAACAAGAATATTCATTCCCTATTTTTTTGTCAAAATAGTCTATTTTCTAAAATATGATCATGCCTCAAACATATGGACTTTGCAGTTAAGCTCCGCCCTCCAATCTCATGACGAATAAAAAATGCATCACAATTGAGACAGGGCGAGTGGGTGGGGCTTAATTTTTGACTGTTTTTTCTTAACATGTGTAGTTTTCTTTCAACAATACGATAGTCGAAACATGTTCCATATGGTATTTTCTTACGGAACTTTGAATTTAAGCTCCGCCCTTCGCCTCACGACGAATAAAAAGATTAATTACACTTGAGAAAGGACGGGTGGGTGGGGCTTATCCTTCGGTTTTTTTAATACATATATATCGTCTTCTTTCAACAATAAAATACTTAAAATATCAAATGGTAAATTTGTGGTTAGAATTATGTTAAAAGAATCGCGTTGTTAAAAACAGATATAATTACGTTAAGAAAAAGAAGCTAATAATTAAACCCCACCCACCCGCCCCTATTTCAATTGTGATGAATTTTTTATTCGTTGTCAGATGGAGGGGCGGAGTTTAATTGCAAAATCCATATTTTTCTACAAAATTTACCATTTTAAACATGTTTTAGGTTTCTTCTTTTTTTATTTCGATCTCTTTTTGCTCTTGAGAGGATAAGAATATTCATTCTGTATTTTTTCTCAAAATAGTCTATTTTCTCCAATACGATCGTGCCACAAACATATGGACTTTGTAGTTAAGCTCCGCCCCTCAATCTCATAACGAATAAAAAATTCATCACAATTGAGACAGGGGCGGGTGGGTGGGGCTTAATTTTTGACTGTTTGTTCTTAGCATGTGTAGTTTTTCATTTTTGCCATTCTTTTCTAGTTTTTTTTCCCTTTATAGTCGTCTTTTTTGTAATTTTTTATCGCGATTTTAGTCCTTTTTTACGATCTTTTTTGCTGCAATTTTTTTACCTTTTTTTGACTCCTTTTTTTAGTCTATTTTTTTTGTTTTTTTTCGAGTTTTTTGACCATTTTTTCGTCAATTAATTGTAACTTTTTTAGTCGCATTTTTTAACGATTTTTTATCACTTTTTGAAATTGCGTATTTTTTTTATTTGCATTTTTTCAGGAGATTTTTTTGCTTTTTTTGTCCCCTTTTTGGTGCCTTTGTTGTTTTTTGTTCCTCTTTTATGTTTTCTTTTGTTGTGATTTTTTCGTAATTTTTTTATTTCCTTCTTTTGTTTGAATTTTTGTGGATTTTTTGAACTTTTTTTGGCCATTTTTTAAGTATTTTGTTACCCTTTTTGGTCCTGTTTTTATGGTTTTTCTTTCATTTCCTTCATTTAGTAAAATTTTTATAATTTCTTTTCGCCTTTTTTGTCACTTTTTGTCTTACCTTTTTTGGTTCGCGTTTTTAAATTTTTTTTTGTCGCTTTTTTACGACGTTTTTGGCCCTCTTTTATGGTCTTCTTTTTGTTGCCATTTTCTGTGACTTTTTTTGACTCCCTTCTTTTAGTCTCATTTTTTGTGGACTTCTTTTCTCATTTTTGACCTTTTTTCGTCTTTTTATGTAATATTTTTTTTAGACACTTTTTTAAGGATTTTTTCTGTTTTTATTACACTTTTTTGTCCCCTTTTTAATGTCCTTTTTTCGCCCATTTTGACTTCATTCTTTTAGTAACATTTTTGTCTTTTATTCGCCTTTTTTTGTCATTTTTTGAAATTTGTTTTTTTTTCAGGAGACTTTTGTTTTTTTGTCCTCTTTTTTGGTACCTTTGTTCTTGTTTTTTGCTCCTCTTTCATGTTTTTTTTGTTACATTTTTTTTGTGACCTTTTTTTGATTTCCTTCGTTTAGTTTCACTTTTTTGTGGATTTTTGGACGTTTTTTTGTCATTAGAATTTTTTTTTTAGTTTTTTTGTCCCTTTATAGTCTTTTTTTTGTAATTTTTTATCGCGATTTTGGTCCTTTTTTACGGTCTTTTTTTTGCTGCAATTTTTTTTTTGACCTTTTTTTGACCCCTTTTTTTAGTCTAATTTTTTAGTGTTTTTTTTCGGGTTTTTTGACCATTTTTTCGTCAATTATTTGTAACTTTTTTAGTCGTATTTTTTAACGATTTTTTTTATCACTTTTAGAAATTCCGTGTTTATTTATTTGCATTTTTTCAGGAGATTTTTTTGCTTTTTTTGTCCCCTTTTTTGGTGCCTTTGTTGTTTTTTGTTCCTCTTTTATGTTTTCTTTTGTTGCGATTTTTTCGTCACTTTGTTTTTATTTCCTTCTTTTGTTTCGCTTTTTGTGGATTTTTGGAACTTTTTTTGGCAATTTTTTAAGTATTTTGTTACCCTTTTTGGTCCTGTTTTTATGGTCTTTCTTTCATTTCCTTCATTCAGTTAATTTTTTTTTTGTCGCTTTTTTACGACGTTTTTGGCCCTCTTTTATGGTCTTCTTTTTGTTGCCATTTTCTGTGACTTTTTTTGACTCCCTTCTTTTAGTCTCATTTTTTGTGGACTTCTTTTCTCATTTTTGACCTTTTTTCGTCTTTTTATGTAATATTTATTTTAGACACTTTTTTAAGGATTTTTTTCTGTTTTTATTACACTTTTTATTAGTCCCCTTTTTAACGTCCTTTTTTCACCCCTTTTGACTTCCTTCTTTTAGTAACATTTTTGTCTTTCATTCGCCATTTTTTGTCATTTTTTGAAATTTGTTTTTTTTTCAGGAGACTTTTGTTTTTGTTTGTCCTCTTTTTTGGTACCTTTGTTCTTGTTTTTTGCTCCTCTTTCATGTTTTTTTTTTGTTACATTTTTTTTGTGATCTTTTTTTTAATTTCCTTCTTTCACTTTTTTGTGGATTTTTTGGACGTTTTTTTGTCATTTTCTTTTGTTTTTGTCACTCGTTTTGGACCTGTTTTTATTGCCTTCTTTTGATTTCCTTCATTTAGTGACATTCATCATTCTTTTCACCTATTTTGTTCGCATTTTTTTCAGTAGAATTTTTTTTATAGTTTTTTTTGTCCTCTTTCATGGTCTTTTTTGCTGCAATTTTTTTTGACCTTTTTTTTGTTTTTTTCGGGTTTTTTGACCATTTTTTCGTCAATTATTTGTAACTTTTTAGTCGCATTTTTTAACGATTTTTGTATCGCTTTTTGAAATTCCGTGTTTTTTGTTTGCATTTTTTCATGAGATTTTTTTGTTTTTTTTTTGTCCCCTTTTTTGGTGCCTTTGTTGTTTTTTGTTACGTTTTGTTCCTCTTTTATGTTTTCTTTTGTTGCAATTTTTTCGTCACCTTTTTTTTTGATTCCCTTCTTGTTTCACTTTTTTGTGGATTTTTTGAACGTTTTTTTTGGCAATTTTTTAAGGATTTTGTTGTCCTTTGTTTTTGTTACCCTTTTTGGTCCTGTTTTTATGGTCTTTCTTTGATTTCATTCATTTAGTAAAATTTTTATAATTTCCTTTCGCCTTTTTTGTCACTTTTTGGCTTACCTTTTTTTGTTTGCATTTTTTTCAATTTTTTTTTTGTCGTATAGCGTTTTTGGTCCTCTTTCGCGGTCTTTTTACTTTTTTTTTTATTCCTTTTTTTAGTCTAATTTTTGTTTTTTCCGGTTTTTTTGACCATTTTTTCGTCAATTATTTGTAACTTTTTTTAGTTGCTTTTTTTAACGATTTTTTTGTCCTTTGTTTTTGTTACCCTTTTTTGGTCCTGTTTTTATGGTCTTTCTTTGATTTCCTTCATTTAATAAAATGTTTATAATTTCTTTTCGTCTTTTTTCTCACTTTTTGACTTACCTTTTTTTTGTTCGCATTTTTTTCATTTTTTTTTTGTCGTTTTTATCGCGTTTTTGGTCCTCTTTCGCGGTCTTTTTACCTTTTTTTTATTCCTTTTTTAGTCTAATTTTTGTTTTCTTCAGTTTTTTTGACTATTTTTTCGTCAATTATTTGTAACTTTTTTTAGTTGCTTTTTTTAACGATTTTTTTGTCCTTTGTTTTTGTTACCCTTTTTTGGTCCTGTTTTTATGGTATTTCTTTGATTTCCTTCATTTAGTAAAATTTTTATAATTTCTTTTCGGCTTTTTTCTCACTTTTTGATTTACCTTTTTTTTGTTCGCATTTTTTTTTAATTTTTTTGTCGTTTTTTTATCTCGTTTTTGGTCCTCTTTCGCGGTCTTTTTACTTTTTTTTTTAATTCCTTTTTTAGTCTAATTTTTGTTTTTTCGTTTTTTTTTGAGCATTTTTTCATCAATTATTTGTAACTTTTTTTAGTTGCTTTCTTTTAACGATCTTTTTGTCCTTTGTTTTTTTACCCTTTTTGGTCCTGTTTTTATGTCTTTCTTTGATTTCCTTCATTTAGTAAAATTTTTATAATTTCTTTTCGCCTTTTTTGTCACTTTTTGACTTAACTTTTTTTTGTTCGTATTTTTTCAAAAATTTTTTGTCGTTGTTTTTATCGAGTTTTTGGTCCTCTTTCGCGGTCTTTTTACCTTTTTTTTTATTCCTTTTTTAGTTTAATTTTTGTTTTTTTTTTCGTTTTTTTTGACCATTTTTTCGTCAATTATTTGTAACTTTTTTTAGTTGCTTCTTTTAACGATTTTTTTGTCCTTTGTTTTGGTTACCCTTTTTGGTCTTGTTTTTATGGTCTTTCTTTGATTTCCATCATTCAGTAACATTTTTATAATTTCTTTTCGCCTTTTTTATCACTTTTTAACTTACGTTTTTTTTGTTCGCATTTTTTTTTTATTTTTTTTTGTCGTTTTTATCGCGTTCTTGGTCCTCTTTCGCGGTTTTGTTACCTTTTTTTTACTCCTTCTTTTTAGTCTAATTTTTTATTTTTTCGGTTTTTTTGAGCATTTTTTCATCAATTATTTGTAACTTTTTTTAGTTGCTTTTTTTAACGATTTTTTATCCTTTGTTTTTGTTACCCTTTTTGGTCCTGTTTTTATGGTCTTTCTTTGATTTCCTTCATTTAGTAAAATTTTTATAATTTCTTTTCGCCTTTTTCGTCACTTTTTGACTTCCCTTTTTTTTGTTCGCATTTTTTTTCATTTTTTTGTCGTTGTTTTTATTGCGTTTTTGGTCCTCTTTCGCGATCTTTTTACCTTTTTTTTTTTATTCCTTTTTTAGTCTAATTTTTGTTTTTTCGGTTTTTTGACCATTTTTTTGTCAATTATTTGTAACTTTTTTTAGTTGCTTCTTTTAACGATTTTTTTGTCCTTTGTTTTGGTTACCCTTTTTGGTCTTGTTTTTATGGTCTTTCTTTGATTTCCATCATTCAGTAACATTTTTATAATTTCTTTTCGCCTTTTTTATCACTTTTTAACTTACCTTTTTTTTGTTCGCATTTTTTTTTTTTATTTTTTTTTGTCGTTTTTATCGCGTTCTTGGTCCTCTTTCGCGGTTTTGTTACCTTTTTTTTTACTCCTTCTTTTTAGTCTAATTTTTTATTTTTTCGGTTTTTTTGAGCATTTTTTCATCAATTATTTGTAACTTTTTTTAGTTGCCTTTTTTAACGATTTTTTTGTGCTTTGTTTTTTTACCCTTTTTGGTCCTGTTTTTATGGTCTTTCTTTGATTTCCTTCATTTAGTAAAATTTTTATAATTTCTTTTCGCCTTTTTTGTCACTTTTTGACTTACCTTTTTTTTGTTCGCATTTTTTTCAAATTTTGTTTGTCGTTGTTTTTATCGCGTTTTTGGTCCTCTTTCGCGGTCTTTTTACCTTTTTTTTTTTAATTCCTTTTTTAGTCTAATTTTTGTTTTTTTCGGTTTTTTTGACCATTTTTTCGCCAATTATTTGTAACTTTTTTTAGTTGCTTTTTTTTAACGATTTTTTTGTCCTTTGTTTTTGTTCCCCTTTTCGGTCCTGTTTTTATGGTCTTTCTTTGATTTCCTTCATTTAGTAAAATTTTTATAATTTCTTTTCGCCTTTTTTCTCACTTTTTGACTTACCTTTTTTTTGTTCGCATTTTTTTCAAATTTTGTTTGTCGTTGTTTTTATCGCGTTTTTGGTCCTCTTTCGCGGTCTTTTTACCTTTTTTTTTTTATTCCTTTTTTAGTCTAATTTGTTTTTTTTTCGGTTTTTTTGACCATTTTTTCGTCAATTATTTGTAACTTATTTAGTTGCTTTTTTTTATGATTTTTTTGTCTTCTGTTTTTGTCACCTTTCCTAGTCCACTAATTACCTTTTTTTTCACTTTTTTTTCTCATTTTTTATGACATTTTTGATCCTTTTTTTGCAATTTCTTGTGCCCTTTTTTGACTCCTTTCTTTTAATCTGATTTTTAGTGGCTTTTTTTGACATTTTTTAGTCTATTCGACTGAACCATTTTTTTTTTGTAAAAATTTTGAAAAATCAAAACTCAGTTTTGAATTGATGAGTTGTCGGTGATTTCGGATTTGGAATTGGCGGAAGATTATCTACAATTTAAGACCATTTCTCAGTCGATTAAAACCATTTTAACCATTTTTTTTTTTTTTTGAAAAACTTGGGAAATTGTACATTCACTTTTCCCGTTTATTTGTTTTTGGTAATGGAAAATCCTTCTTTTATTTTAACACCAAGCAATTGGTTCCCTGAAATAGAGAAGGGGTGGGTGGGCGGGGCAAACTTTTTTTAGTTACAAAATTATAATTTCATCTCCGCTCTCTCCACCTCATTTCCAGACGGCGAAGAAACCGAGCTCCAGTTCGCCGAGTCCGTGCTCTCCCCCGCCGCCGACTCCTACTACAAAAAACACAACATCAACTTCAACTGCGCCCCCGAGGATTTCTCGTCCAATTGCGAGGACGACCACTACTTGCAGTTCCTCATTGGCTTGGACTCCGAGACCAGCGACATCCTGCGCGACCTGATTGGCCTGGACGACGTGGTGCCCCTCCTCGTCGGGATCGACATCCCCAACCGGCGCTTCGCCGTCATGGAGTACGGGGTGGAGATCACCGTGGACGCGGTGAGCGACTTCGTCGAGAAGTTCCAGAAGGGCGAGGTCAAGTTCATCGACGTCAACGATAGGGTGGTCGAGGATGAGCATTAGTGCAATATGTAGATAGTTAGGTTAGGTTTGTTATAGGCGATATGTTCGTATTTTTCAATACTTTTATAGATGGCGCCGCCATTGTACAGTCGATGTGGTAGATTAAAGAGTTACTATAGCGATTTGGGGTTTAATTCGTCACTCGGTATATACAAAAATAAATTATGTTAGGTTATGTACACTACTTGTCGAACAACGCTGTCAAAGCGTCGAAGAAGCGGGTGCGGTCTTTGGTGAAGATCTCGAAATCTGAAAATAATAATAATAATAATAAACATAATAAAATGGCTAGATTGCTAGATTTTCTCACAAGACGTGTCAAAGTAGTCCGAAAGGACGTCGTAGTTGATGTTTTCGGCGGCTTCTTCAAATGCACGACCCAAATTACTACACAAATTAGAAAACACAAATAAAAAAATTTGTTTTTCTTAAATTAAATCAAAACGTACTTTTTCGGCGACAGCTGCCGCAACGGGGGGATCCCCAGCACGATGCAGGTCCCCAGCTCCAGGTTTTTGGGGGCCGAAATGATCAAAGGTAAGTCCGGGGCCTTTTTATTCTTGGACATGGACACGTAAGCCCTCAGAATGAATTGCGCCAAAAGCAGCAAAATGTGCTGGTTTGAAAGCATATACCAGTCCAAGCTGCCCTGAAAGTCCGTTTTCGTTTCATTATTATTATTATTAATTTCGTATTCCCTTACTTCTTGTATTATGTAATAAACGAAACTTCCCGCTGTAATAATTTGCTTCATGTCTATTGCCGCTTGTACCGTCTTAAATAAAGTCTTTGTAATCGTCTTGGCACGCTCTATTGCCTTTTGTAGAGTTTCTTTGTGGCGTCGTGATAAGCAGTCAAGCGCCGAGTTGAAGCACTCTTCGGGTTTGTCTCGAGGCTGAAAAGTTTTATTTGCATGTAATGTTCGTTTTTGGTGTACGGGCTCCTCAAATCTGCAAACTTGGCGCGATGTGCATAATTTTATGGTGGTTCAACAAGTCCGATAAATTAAGAAGAGGGACTCGCCACAAGTTGCGACAGAAAAAATGATTTTTTAAGACGGTTTTCATCATAGTTTTCCACTATTATTTATAATTGAGGAAACATTCGGCGTGATAGTTACAATATTGGACTCAAAGAGTGGAAGAACATGACTCTTTTAACAAGTCCAAATAATTAAGAAGAGGGACTCGCCACAAATTGCAGAGGAAAAGAAAATTTTCAAACGATGGTTTTGTTATCAATATTTTTCCAAAATTGTTTAAAATGATTTTTATTTACAATATTAGGTGCGATATTTACAAAATTTTATTTAAAAACGAAAAGAGATTAGTATTTTAATAAGTCCGAATATTAAACATCACCCTTTGCAGTTAAGCTCCGCCCCATGATCTCACAGCGAATAAAAAATTCATCACAATTGAAATCGGGGCGGGTGGGTGGGGCTTAAACTTTGGCTTTGTTTTTCTTAAAATGTGTAGTTGTCTTTCAACCACACGATACTTAAAATATGGTATTTTCTTGTAGAGAAATATGAACTTTGCAGTTAAGCTCCGCCCCCCGTTCTCACAACGAATAAAAAATTCGTTAAAATTGAGATCGGGGCGGGTGGGTGGGGCTTATCCTTCGATTTTCTTAGTACATACACATAATTTTCTTTCAACCATAAAATAATTAAAATATGAAATGGTAAATTTGAAGTTAGATTAATGTTTTAAATGGCGGGTTGTAGAAGAGAAACCAATAATTAAGCCCCACCCACCCACCCCTACCTCATTTGTGATTAATTTAGTTTAACTCTAAAATCCATATTTTTCTAAACAAATTTACCATTTTACATATGTTTTAAGTTTCTTCTTTTTCTTTCAATCTTCTTTTGCTTTCAAAAATAAAAATATTCATTCCCTATTTTTTTCTCAAAATACTCTATTTTCTACAATCCGAGCATGTCTCAAACATGGAATTTGCAGTTAAGCTCCGCCCCATGATCTCACAACCAATAAAAAATTCATCACAATTGAAATCGGGCGGGTGGGTGGGGCTTAAACTTTGGCTTTGTTTTTCTTAATATGTGTAGTTTTTTCTTTCAACCACACGATACTTAATATGTTTCACTTGGTATTTTCTTGTAGAGCAATTTTTTTGCATTTAAGCTCCGCCCTCCCCGTCTCACGAGGAATAAATAGATTAATCACAATTGAGATCGAGTCGGGTGGGTGGGGCTGATCCTTCGATTTTCTTAGTACATATACATAATCTTCTTTCAATCATAAAATAATTAAAATATCAAATGGTAAATTTGAGGTTAGATTAATGTCTTAAATGCCGGGTTGTTCAAGAGAAATCAATAATTAAGCCCCACCCACCCACCCCTACCTCAATTGTGATGAATTTTTTATTCGTTGTCAGATAGAAGGGCGGAGTTTAATTGCAAAACTCGTATTTTTCTACAAAAATTTACCAGTTTAAACATGTTTTAGTTTTTTTTTCTGCTTCTTCTTTCGATCTTCTTTTGTTTTTGAGAGAATAAAAATATTACGTGACTATTTTTTCTTAAAATAGTCTATTTTCTACAATTCGATAATGTCTCAAACATATGGATTTTGCAGTTAAGCTCCGCCCCATGATCTCACAACGAATAAAAAATTGATCACAATTGAAATCGGGCGGGTGGGTGGGGCTTAAACTTTGGCTTTGTTTTTCTTAATATGTGTAGTTTTATTTCAACCACACGATACTTAAAACATGGTATTTTCTTGTAGAGAAATATGAACTTTGCAGTTAAGCTCCGCCTCCCGACCTCACAACGAATAAAAAATTCATTAAAATTGAGATCGGGGCGGGTGGGTGGGGCTTATCCTTCGATTTTCTTAGTACATACACATAATCTTCTTTCAACCATAAAATAATTAAAATATGAAATGGTAAATTTGAGGTTAGTTAATGTTTGAAATACCGGGTTGTTGAAGAGAAACCAATAATTAAGCCCCACCCACCCACCCCTACCTCATTTGTGATGAATTTTTTATTCGTTTTCAGACAGAGGGGCGGAGTTTAATTGCAAAATCCATATTTTTCTACAAAAATTTACCATTTTAAACATGTTTAAGGTTTTTTCTTCTTCTTTCGCTTTTGAGAGAATAAAAATATTCCTTCGCTATTTTTTCTCAAAATAGTCTTTTTCTACAATACGATCGTGTTTCAAACACACGAATTTTGCAGTTAAGCTCCGCCCACTTATCTCACAACGAATAAAAAAATTCATCACAATTGAAATCGGGCGGGTGGGTGGGGCTTAAACTTTGGCTTTGTTTTTCTTAATATGTGTAGTTTTCTTTCAACCACACGATACTTAAAACATGGTATTTTCTTGTAGAGAAATATGGACTTTGCAGTTAAGCTCCGCCCTCCGATCTCACAACGAATAAAAAATTCATTACAATTGAGATGGGGCGGGTGGGTGGGGCTTATCTTTCGATTTTCTTTGTATATACACATAATCTTCTTCCAACCATAAAATAATTAAAATATGAAATGGTAAATTTGAGGTTAGATTAATGTTTTAAATGCCGGGTTGTTGAAGAGAAATTAATAATTAAGCCCCACCCACCCACCCCTACTTCAATTGTGATGAATTTTTTATTCGTTTTCAGACAGAAGGGCGGAGTTTAATTGCAAAATCCGTATTTTAAAAAAAAAAATTATCATTTTAAACATGTTTTAGGTTCTTTCTTCTGCTTCTTCTTTCGATCCTCTTTTGATTTTGAGAGAATAAAAATATTCATTCCCTATTTCTTCTTAAAATAGTCTATTTTCTACAATACGATCCTGTCCCAAAACATATTGATTTTGCAGTTAAGCTCCGCCCCATGATCTCACAACGAATAAAAAATTCATCACAATTGAAATCGGGCGGGTGGGTGGGGCTTAAACTTTGGCTTTGTTTTTCTTAATATGTGTAGTTTTCTTTCAACCACACGAGATTTAATACATGGTATTTTCTTGTAGAGAAATATGAACTTTGCAGTTAAGCTCCGCCTCCCGATCTCATAACGAATAAAAAATTCATTACAATTGAGATGCGGCGGGTGGGTGGGGTTTATCCTTCGATTTTCTTAGTACATACACATAATCTTCTTTCAACCATAAAATACTTAAAATATCAAATGGTAAATTTGAGGTTAGATTAATGTTTTAAATACCGGGTTGTTGAAGAGAAATCAATAATTAAGCCCCACCCACCCACCCCTACGTCAATTGTGATGAATTTTTTATTCGTTGTCAGATAAACGGGCGGAGCTTAAATGGAAAATCCATATTTTTCTAAACAAATTTACCATTTTAAACATGTTTTAAGTTTCTTCTTCTTTTTCTTTCAATCTTCTTTTGCTTTTAAAAATAAAAACATTCATTCCCTATTTTTTTTTTTTCAAAATAGTCTATTTTCTACAATACGATCGTGTCTCAAACATGGGTTTTGCAGTTAAGCTCCGCCCCCTGATCTCACAACGAATAAGAAATTCGTCACAATTGAAATCGGGCGGGTGGGTGGGGCTTAAACTTTGGCTTTGTTTTTCTTAATATGTGTAGTTTTGTTTCAACCACACGATACTTAAAACATGGTATTTTCTTGTAGAGAAATATGAACTTTGCAGTTAAGCTCCGCCCCCCGATCTCACAACGAATAAAAAATTCATTAAAATTGAGATCGAGGCGGGTGGGCGGGGTTTATCCTTCGATTTTCTTAGTACATACACATAATCATCTTTCAACAATAAAATAATTAAAATATCAAATGGTAAATCTGAGGTTAAATTTATGTTTTAAATATCGGGTTGTTGAAGAGAAGCCAAAAATTAAGCCCCACCCACCCACCCCTACCTCAATTGTGATGAATTTTTTATTCGTTGTCAGACAGAAGGGTGAAGTTTAAATGCAAAATCCATAGCTTTATACAAAAATTTACCATTTTAAACATGTTTTAGGTTTCTTCTGCTTCTTCTTTCAATCTTCTGTTGCTTTTGAGAGAATAAAAATATTCTTTCCCTATTTTTTCTTAAAATAGTCTATTTTCTACAATTCGGTCGTGTCTCAAACATATGGATTTTGCAGTTAAGCTCCGCCCCATTATCTCACAACCAATAAAAAATTCATCACAATTGAAATCGGGCGGGTGGGTGGGGCTTACACTTTAGCTTTGTTTTTCTTAATATGTGCAGTTTTTTTTCAACCACACGATACTTAATATATGTTTCACATGTTATTTTGTACAGAATTTTTTTTGCATTTAAGCTCCGCCCTGCCCGTCTCACCAGGAATAAATAGATTGATCACAAATGAGATGGGGCGGGTGGGTGGGAGGTCCGAATAGTTAAGAAGAGGGACTCGCTACAATTTGCAACTGAAAAGATGATTCTTTTACACCGGTTGTCATCAATATTTTTGCACTGTATAGATTATTTATAATTGGCGACATATCAGGTTCGATTTTACTATATTTCACTTGAATGTGGAAGAACGTGAGTTTTAACAAGTCCGTTTGTTTAAGAAGAGGGACACGCTACAACATTGAAAGAAGTGAAAATAAAATAAGTAATCAGAAAAAAACCAACAAGTGTGCAAACTTGAGAAACCCCAACCAAAAAACGCAAAACTGTCCTCACCGACGACTCCAGTATTGCCAACATCGCATACACAATATCCGATGCACAATATTTGTTCCTATAGCCAAACTGTAAAACGAAAGACGTGAAAATTAAGTCCTCTAGATTGTACTTTTCCGACAATTTCTCCAAACTCTCGTGAAATTCCTTTCTTAATTGTAAATCCATAGATTCGAACGACTGCTGACTTTGGGCCACCGGTAATCTACACACATTTACAAAAATCAAAAAAAATTAAAAATTGACACAAAAATATTTCCAAAGTACCCCATGTCTGCCAACAACTCGTACAACTTCTTGCTCCCCCTATGCGACCACAACTTCATCTTACACGCCGTAAACATCGAATATTTTAAACTAGATTCCACACACCAGTGTCTATAAAGCACCAATTTCAAGTCTTTCTCGAACGAGATTTTCAGCGAAGTTGCCACGTCGGCGTCGTTGGAGCGATTTTTTAAACGAGTTGTGTGCGCTTGTAATTCCCCGGCCGCCAACACATACTGAGTGTTCTCTATTTTGCTGAAGAGAAATTGCTCGGTTAAGGCCACTATTGCCAACCAGAGGAGGTCCTTGTCGTCTTTATTTAACAACCAGGCTAATTTATACATGGCAACTGCGCTCTAAAACGGTTTTAATAATTTTATCCCCTCATTATAACAATAATTAAAAAAAAAAATTAACTTACTGCTTTTGCATAGTACGTATATTGTGAGTACTCCGCAATAATATCAAACCTCCTCTGCTCCCACAGTCTTCGCTCTCGTCGCCTCATTATTGCCTCTTCATCTAATCTCCTTTTCTTGGCAGCCCGCCCCTCACCCTCATTTTCCTCGTCTTCGTCCTCACCTCCACTCTCGTCGTCACTCTACACCAACATTAGTAACTAATAACTTACTATTCAAGCACTTACATCATCTCTGTACACTGCCTGAAACTCAGGAACCTCTGCGTCTTCGTTAGGCCCCCACAACAACCGAACTTGTCCATCACTAAATATATTATCTAAATGAGTCGGTCTGTGCGCGTCTATCACGAAGAAAACCGCATCGTCTGCCGGCTCTAGCACGTCCACTAAGTTAACAGTGCCCCCACAATTAATCAACACGAAATATTTTACATCGGCACAGTGTTCTTGGTGGGAGCGCTTCAGGTCCTCGACGCCGCGCACCACGCACAAGGTGTAACGCACTTCCTTGTGTTTGAGGATGCTCTGAAGGATTTTTAGGGCACAGATGCTGTCGATGTCATAATGAACGAGAAGCAAAATTCGCTGAAATTTTACAAATAATGGTGGAAATTTCACCAGAGACACTTACCTTTCCTGTCAGAAACTCGTAAAATTCATTTTTTAGGTCTTCTACATACATTTTTTTCACGAAATTTGAATATTATTGGGGCATTCTAACCTCAAAAGCCGCCAAAACAACAAACCGTTATTAGAACTGGGGGGGCAGGGGTGCCAACGTAACGTGGGTAGTGGGGTTCAGGGCGATTAAAACCAAGTGTGGCATGAGGGGCACGAGCCAAAGCAGCAGATCAACTGAACTGATTTACCAGTGTCCATTTATAACGAATTAGTTAATGAGTTTCTAATTTGTTCGTGTAAATAGCCAAGGATTTTGACCAACAACAAAAACCAAAATTCCCTAGTAATTTATGAATGCGAAGAATGACACGAATGACATTTGTCTGGTGGATTTAAAATAAGGCGGCAAAACACTAAAGTTGTCAACTCTGGTATATTCTAAAATATATTAACACAATGTACAAAAACTAAATACAAACTGTCTTCGGTACCCCAAAACCCCCTTAAGCGTCTTTGACTTGGTAGTACCTCGTCACGATCGGCGAAAACGGCGCTACCATGACCTGAAACTCGGCATCGCTCAAACTCGTTGGTACCTTCCCACTTTCAATAGCCTCATGGGACGGACACACATGTGCACAAAAATACTTGGGCTCCGGGGGCGGCATTTTCTTCCCGCTTTTCAGCTCTTCGTCCCGATACTGCGTCCTCTGCTGCGCCACGAGCGTGTCGTGCACCGCCGCCCCCACACCGCGTTCGCGACACGCCACCTCCACCACCTCCCTCTCCCGATAAACATTCTCCACCACCCCCGCCAACACCTTGTCCGACAACAAATTCGAAAACTCGGTAACGTCAGCCACCGTCCACTGGCAGTGCGAATTTTTGGGGCGCACTTGGGCCAAGGAGGCCCGCACCGAAAACTGGGGGACCTCGCAGTGCTTCACGCTCATGTAAAAAATGTTGTTGTAGTCGACCAGTTGGAGCGACCCGTAGTCGGTGAAGAAGACGTGCACTTGGTTCTGGTCCCACAGGTCCTGGGGCAAGCCCACGATTCGCCCTCGGTAGTAGTTGCCGTCGGTGAAAGCCACACAGGGCATGTCGAGCTGCAGGTTGTCGGTGGGCATTTTGTACTTGTTGCGATTGAGGTAGTAGTACTGGAAGAGGTGCTTCTGGAAGATTTCGAGCTCCTGGAACTTCACCACGATCCAGAACTTCGAGGGGTCGTAGATGTGGGAGACTTTGAAGTTGATGGGTTGGCCGGGATTGAAGTTGCACTTGGTGAAGCAGGTGGGGATGGGCTTCTGGTCGACGTAGAAGAGGTCGTCCGAACCCATTTCGACTTAAACGAGTTTAAATAGTTGAGAAAATAAATCACAATAACCTAAAACGTCAAATTCAAATTAGTGCATAATAGTGCCAACCTAAATACCGACAATCGCCGCAGTATTTTTATTTACATTATTAACACAGCTAAAAATTAAAAATAAGCCCCTATTTCCTCCTGTTGCAACTAAATTAATCACAAAACTTGTCGGTTTTTTTTTTAAACAACATCCACACAAATTTGTCAACAAACCTGAAAACCCGAAAACCACCAAATCGCTAACCCAGATAAGAAAAACACATGGCTTTTACCTGTGATAAGAGATAACTTCGTAAACAGTTGCTTGAACACGTGCCAACCAGCCGCAGCATGTCTCGCCCGGAGCATTTAGCCCCTCCGGAAATCGTAAGTCGCTTCCACTGCACCCCCCAAACCTAACCTCACTTTTTTAGTTCTACAACGAAAATGAGGCCCGAAAATACACCCAAAAGTACGTACAGCCCCCTTTCGCCCTCTTAACTTCACCCAACTCTTTTTAGCTCCCGAATTATGGACATTCAAATGCAAATGAGCGAACGTGCCGTCGAACTGTTGCTTTTACCAGAAGACGAGCCCTGCTTTCTCCTGGATATTGGGTGCGGGTCGGGGCTTAGTGGCAGTGTCCTTGAAGACCAGGGCCACTTTTGGGTGGGAATGGACATATCGACAGCGATGCTAGGTACTGGTTTTATAATAAAAAATGTGACTTTAGTTTTGGTTTTAAGATATCGCGCTTGAGAGAGAAGTGGAGGGCGACGTTCTGCTGACTGACATGGGGCAAGGGTGCCCCTTTAGAGCCGGGACTTTCGACGGGGCTATCAGTATTTCGGCGCTCCAGTGGCTATGCAATGCCGACAAAACCACACACAAGCCGGTTCAAAGACTGTATAAATTTTTCAGTAGTTTGTATGCTTGTTTGGTGCGTTTGTTGTACAAGGGGGCGACTTTGGCTAATTGAGGGGTTTCAGAGTCGGTCTGCGAGGGCTGTGTTTCAGTTTTATCCGGAGAATAGCGAGCAGATGGAGCTGGTTACGGCACAAGCGATGAAGGCGGGGTTTTATGGGGGCGTCGTCGTGGACTACCCGAACTCCACTAAAGCGAAAAAATTTTTCTTGGTGTTGATGACGGGGGGAAATGTGCCTTTACCCAAAGGTTTGGGGAGTGCAGAGGAAACTCAAGGTCAGTTGGTTCACTGTCAGTTGGAAATGGTTAATTTGTCTCCCTAAGGACCCCCAACTGTCACAATTAATAAAAAAAAAAATTGGGTTTTCAGTGGGATTCGAACCGGCGTCACACTAAAATCGACCACATTTTTCAATTTTATATCGACAAAACGTTTCAAACAGACTGTATAAAAGGTGTCTTGATTAATCGTTATCTTATCAACGTAAATAATGCGAAAAAAAAACTTTGTCAGGTGTGGGGTTCGAACCCACGCTCTCTTTCGAGAACCAGAGCTTAAATCTGGCGCCTTAGACCGCTCGGCCAACCTGACTAGTAAAAGAGGACGGGTTATAGCGGTACTTAAACGTACAATATTGCACAACATTCCAAATTTAGAAATTGCGTTTCAAATTTTTTATTTTATCTTTACACGAATAAATAGTGAAAGCTTTTAGGTGTTTCGTATATTTCGAAACGAGAGCAGATCAAAAAAGCTCGAGGAAAGCCGCTGAAGAAGAGCCGGGATTGGATCTTGGAAAAAAAAGAACGCAGGAGAAGACAAATGAAGGACGTTAGGGCCGATTCTAAGTACACAGGGCGCAAACGAAGCGGCAGATTTTGATAAAAATAGACCTTATTATTTAATTTTATTTTTACTAATTAATAAAAAGTTTTGTTTATTTTCGTAGCCATATTTTTCCAAAACACAAAAAATTGATTTAATTTAACCACAAGACACAAAAATAGTAATACTGGATGTGGGTGTACACGAACGATTTATTTTAGTTGCGTCTGAAGCAAAAAAAGTTGGACGGGCCTGTCCGGGATTTGAACCCGGGACCTCTCGCACCCGAAGCGAGAATCATACCCCTAGACCAACAGGCCGTTGATACATGACTCGTACAGAGAGGAAATTATGGTACATGCTTTCGTCCGTTACTCCTCAACCGCCAAATACACAAAAACACTTCGAATAACCCGGCAGCCGCCTCGTCCAACCCTCTTGTTACCATTCCACCCGTGACTCCAGCAACCAAAATCTAGTAATTTTTTATTTGAAACTGTCCCCATCCGGGTTTACATAACCTCGCTTTTTATTGATCTCAAAACAGCCAAAACATCGTCTCCGAAACAAAAATCCTGACATGGACCCCCCGCAACGCGAACACGACATCTTCAAAGACACCCCGGTTCGGCTTTTAGGTAAACTATGACTTATTGTAGTTAGTTTGGTTGATTTTGGGGCTGCAGGTTACGCCAACGAAGTCGGAGAAGCGCTGCGGGGCTTCATTGGGACCAAATGGGTGCGCTTCTCCTACCAAGTCGCTACGCTGTACGTGGTGGCAGACACCCTCGACAAAACGGCGAAATCCCTATCTGTATACTTTTGACTGTCTTTTGACTTTTGAGTGACGATTTAGTTTTAGAGGGGCAAAGACACCGTGACGAAAACGGTGTTCGTGACTACGGATACTCTGATTTGGCAGATGTTGGCTTCGGTGATCATTCCAGGCTTCACGATTAATCGTGTGTGCGCTTTCACTGACTATGTGTTAATTAGGACGAAAATGCCTGTGACTAATAGGATGGTCGTGGTCACAGGTGCTGGTTTAGCTGTGATACCTTTCATTATTAAACCCATTGATAGACTAGTGGATTATTTGCTCGATCGTAGTTTTCGAAAGTTGCAACCTTAGTACTACAGAGTCATTGAGGGATTTAACATTCCTTAGTTGTTTAGAGTGCCAAAGAGCTAGTATTCGTAGTACGACGGTTTAGTGCGATAGCCCCTTGTTAGTGATTGTTGTGACGTGTGGCACCCCTGTTTAGTGCAAACAGTTGGTAATGTTATTGTTGATTTGTTATTAATAAAATTTCGTAGGCACTTTGTAGTTATTGTTAGAGTTTGAATATGTCGAGGGCTAAAATAATCGAGCTGGACGATACCAACACTTGTGAAATGTAAATCCAAGAAATTTTTTTGAAAGTGAGGTTATGTTTACTTTGTGTCGTAGATGCGATAACGCTCTAGCCAAGTACACCTGCCCCAAATGCCAAATCCGCTACTGCTCACTAACATGCTACCAATCCGAAAAACACCTCCAGTGTTCAGAAGAATTCTACAAAAGTTGCATCGAAGACGAACTCGCCCATGAAACCAACGAAGAATCCAGGCGGAAAATGCTGGACATTTTGAAACGGAACCACCTGGAGAATAACGTGGACGATAGTGAGCTGGACTCGGACGACGAGGAGGTGGCGGACATCGCGGACCGCCTGGCCGGGGTGGATTTAGACGACGCCGACCAAGTCTGGGACAAGCTCACCCAAGACGAGCAACAAGAGTTCATCGCGTTCTTAAAGTACCCCCCGACTGTCTAAACCCCAATAAATTAATAATCGTCCCATTCTAGGTCTGAAGACGTCACCAAGTTGATACCAAGTTGGACCCCTTGGTGGTCACACTCTTCCAAAAACGTGGAAGACGTGCAGACGTCCAGCGAGTACAAAAAAGAGTGCCCCCAGCTCTTAAAAATCAAAAGTTTTCACGAAATTTCGGTAAGTAGTGACTGGGAAAATTGGGGTGTTTGAAGTTGGTGTTGCAGAAAAAGAAACCGGCGAATTGCGTCAAATACAATTTGATTAACGTGGTGGCTGCTTATGCGTTCGCTACGCGGTATTTTAACGGCGAGCACCACGATTTTTGCAAGGAGGTTATAACGTGCGTGGTGGCGATTTCCTTGTGCTTGAAAATAAACCAGAATTTCGAGGACTTCGAGACTGCTGTGAAGTCAGTGGAGTTCCAGTGCACCGAGGTACGTGTAAATGGGGGCTCAGTGTTCAACTAATCCCTGAATTTTTGAGGTTAGTTGGCCACGCGCTGTCACTCGAAAAGCGCCACCTAGTGACAAATCTAGTGATTTTCGTTCCAGAGCGACTGGATCGTCGCGGACTCGGAAAATTTCAAGCTCCTCAGGGACGACCTCGACAAAATCCTCAAAGGGCCGGGTACAAGCGAGCCCAATTTCTACACCTTATGCGCCCTTTCGGACCTCCACACCCTTTTGAGCTCGTCGCTCATAAATAAAGACCACAAGACCTCCTTCAGCAAGAACTTCCCCAACGACCACTTCCCCGAGGTCAAACTAGAGTCAAAAAACAAAATCAAGAGCTGTCTCAAAAAAGTTGAGTATCTTCTATCGTTTGCCAAAGATCATACAATGTAGGTTCAATTTTTGTGGATAATTTGTGGTACAAAGTCCGGTTTGATTGCTTTGGAGAGCGACTCGGCATACATATCCAATCTTTGCGTCATCTGTACAAAAAAATTATTGTAAAAATTAATGTGACTGAAGTGGTGTTATTACCTGAAAGTTCCAGTGATCCCTGATTTGCCGGCAGAGGTTTAGGTCGAGCTCGGCGATGAGGAGGCCGGTTCTGGTCCGGGATAAACCCTAAAATTTGTTGTTAAGTGTGGATTTAGAAAAAATTGTGTGTGTATACCGTGGAGCGGGAGCCATCGGGTGCGGCAATGTAGCTAGCGCCGTAAAAGTAACCAAAGTCTTTATGGGCGGGTTTACCATCCCCGGAGGTGAATTCAGTCTCAAAGACTTCAGTCCCGACTCGGTTTATCGCACAAGTGAAATAACTATTAGCGATAGCGGCATTTCGGGCTTCAATCCCCCATAAGGGTTCACTCAGCGTGCCGACTGTAGCAGACGGATTAAAAACAATTTCGGCCCCGTTCACCCCAAACATAAGCCAGTTGAGAGGGTGGTGACGCCCGTAGCAAATATTAACACCAATTTTACCAAATTCGGTCTACAACACCCCCAAATAACCAAATTTCAACCCATTTAATAAATAATTACTTGAAAAACGGGATGCCCAGTGTTGCCTTCAACATAATAAGTCGATTCATTAAAATCCCCAACTCTAGGTATATGGTTTTTGCGGTGCTTCCCCAAATAGTCGCCATAATTATCTATAACCACCGCCGTGTTCCAAATCGTGTGACCATGAACATCATCACGTTCCAAAATCGGCGAAATTATAACCATATTGTAACGTCTAGCGAGTTCTTTCAAGAAGGCTGTGGTGGGACCGTCTTCAGCACTCTCCGCGTACTCGCACCACGGGTACTTCTCCCGAGTACAGAAAGCAAAAGGCATATCTAAAAAAATACGTCGTATTGAAACGTCTTTCCAACGTGTTTGTGACGTGTTTACTCCACGCCTCCTGCAAACAAAACACGTTGACCCCTCCAGTGGCGGCCGTGTCGATCGCTTTTTCGGCAAGCTTGAATAAAGCATTTCTCTGGTCTTTGATTGGCGAATTCGGGGGCAGAGGAAGCTTGTTTTGGAAAATACCCACCCGGACTACTCTCGGAGCCCTGAGTTGCTCCTGGGCGCTGTCGAAGCGGCACGACACCAACTCTAGGTCATAGTCGCGGGCTTTAGTCTCAGCGTCAGGTAAGTGCAGTTGGCTTTATTTACAAAAGAGACATAAAAGAGACAAAAGTTGGATTAAGTAATTAATCTTACGTCGTGTGAGTGCCGTACAGCACGTTTCGGATTTGCTGGTGGTCTTCAGGGGGCAGTTTCGACAGGATTTTTTCGACGCTCTCGAACTGTTGCTGGGACGACATTTTGTGCTGTTTTATAAATAGGATTGAGTGTGTTTATCGTGGTCAAGGACGAAACGCACTCGGTTTGTTTATTGTATGAGTTGCTTTATTCGTGCTTGTTTACCTATTTGGAGGATTTTCGTCGTTTCAGATATTTCTTTTGTAGTAAATTGTTACTAAAAAAGAAATAGCTGGAAAGGTGGAGACAGTCGGCGCTTGATGGACACTAATAAAGAAGGATGTGGGATAGTTTCAAAATCGGGTTTGTTTTCTTCTGAATTCTTGTATTTTGAGTTAGAATTCGTTTGAAAATGTACCTGATGGTGAAACGTTATCGGGGCTGGAAACAAGAAAGAGCGATTTTTGAAATGTTTATTAAACCATTGCCAAGTGTAGTGTTGTTTTATTTTAGATATTCTTTCAACCATGGTTATACGCATTCCAAATTTACCTGCAATCCCCAGTTTGTCATTCATTTTTAAATTCGCTAAATTTAAGCTGCTATTTTTTTTTTTAAACGAATTTAGTCGTCTTTCTGCTGTAATAAATTTCGCTAGCACTATTTTTTTATATAAAAGTAATCACTAAATGGAGGCGGGTGAGTGGGCGGGGTTTACGATATGTTCCTTGGAGTGGGAGTGGTAACTGATAGATATAAGGCTGTAAAAAAACGCTAATCGTAGTTACAAGAGCTAACCCCACCCACCCACCCACTATTGTCTTAGAGATATGTGACGTGCAAAATCAGTCTTATCTTGACAAGTACTAGCACCGCCCACCCTCCATCTTCTCATTCTAGAGACTAATCTTATTTCTGTATAAGATCCACTTTTCATTCAGTGCAGATAAAATTGATCACCGAAATGGAGGCGGGTGGGTGGGCGGGGTTTACAATATGTTCCTTGGAGTGGGAGTGGTAACTGACAGAAATAAGGCTGTAAAAAAGCGCTAATCGTAGTTACAAGAGCTAGCCCCACCCACCCACCCTCTATTTTCTTAGAAGTATGTGATTTGCCAAAGTCAGTCTTATCTTAACAAGCACTAACCCCGCCCACCCTCCATCTTCTCATTCTAGAGACTAATCTTATTTCTGTATAAGATCCACTTTTCATTCGGTGCAGATAAAATTGATCACCGAAATGGAGGCGAATGGGTGGGCGGGGTTTGCAATATGTTCCTTGGAGTGGGAGTGGTAACTAATAGAAATAAGGCTGTAAAAAAGCGCTAATCGTAGTTACAAGAGCTAGCCCCACCCACCCACCCTCTATTTTCTTAGAGGTATGTGACTTGCAAAACCAGTCTTATCTTGGCAAGTACTAGCCCCACCCACCCTCCCTTTTCTCATTTTAGCGCCCACCCTTACCCATTTCATTGCAATTACTACTCTTAATATTGTTCAGTCTTATCGTTGCAAGTATTAGCCCCACCCACCCACCCCTATTTTCTTAGAGATGTGACTTGCAAAATCAGCTTGATCTAAACAGGTACTAGCTCCGCCCACCCTCCCTTTTCTCATTCTAGCGACTAATTTTATTTCTGCATAAGATCCACCTTTCATTCAGAGCAGATAAAATTTATCACCGAAATGGAGACGGGTGGGTGGGCGGGGTTAGTTTTATTTTCTTCTGTAGAGTGGGAGTGATAAATAATATAATATACAATTTTGAAGATTTCATAAAAAAATTGAATTCTAAGAGAAAACAGGGAAAAAAGAGAGTGGGGGTGCGGGATAGAAGTCAAAAGAGAAAAATAGAGGTATCCAGAGAAAGGGGAAAAAGATAGAGTAAGTAGCACAAAGAAAGGAGTAATAGGGGAAGAAACAAAAACAAGGGAAAAAACATTGAAAGTGGAAATGACAGCCGGAAAAAGGGGAAAAAGAAGGAGAAAAAAAGATAAAACGTAGAGAAAATAATAGGGGGAAGAGAGGAGTAACACGAGGATGTGGTAAAGAGTGAAAAAAAAACAAAAGGAAAAATAACTAACAATCGCGGTAAAGACGAGAGAAAGCCGAGAGAATGTAAATAGAAAAGAGAGGAAAGAAACTCTGGGGGAAGAGGAGAAAGAGTGTGAAAGAGAAAGCCAGAAAATATAGAGAGGTGGAAAAACTAGACAAGAGGTGGGGGTATGGGTGAGAAATTGACAAAAGTGTACATAGAGAATGGTGGAGAGGTGTAGAATGAAAGGGCTAGAAAGAAAAACTCAATAGGGGTAAGAGAAGAGTAAGTAAGTAAGTAAGTAAGTAAGTAAGTAAGTAAGTAAGTAAGTATTTATTAATGACCGTTAGGGTACATAAGTCAAGTCAGATGAAATTACAATATAAAGAGTTTAAAATTATACAATTTACAAGATAATTCAAATCGAATGGTAAAAACTACACAGGACATCGCTACAATTTAAAAATTCATCGAGAGAGTAAAATGCGTTTTTTAATAAAAAATTTCTTATAGTACGGCTAAATTGCGAAAAAGGTAAGTTAGCAATACGTTTCGGTAATTTATTGAATAATTTGGGCCCATAATAATTGATGGCATTTCTACTTCTACCTACACGATAGAATTCGGTGTAAATGCTATGGGTAGATCTCGTGATTAATGACATATTTGTGAGATTATTATAAGTGGTGAGATTAGACTTCACATATAATAAAGCATATAAAATATAAAGACAGGGCACGGTGAGAATACTTTTTTCTTTAAAATAATTTTTAACACAAGCTCTGTAAGATAGACCTCCAATAATTCGAACTACTCGGCGCTGCAATTTAAAAACGGTTTTTAAATGACTGCTGTGGCCCCAGGTTATAATGGCATAGCTAAAAATACTTTGAAATAAAGAGTAGTATATCATCATAAGGATCTGCTCACTAACCTCATATTGCAAATTCCTAATAAGAAAAGTTGACTTGGACAATTTTTTACAGATATCAATGACGTGATTATCCCAGCATAATTTCGGGTCCAGTGTCACACCAAGAAATTTGACACACCTCGGATTGTCAATCTCAGAAATGTAACGAAGGGAAAACACCATTTTTTGAGTTTTCAGTACATTAAGCGTTAATCTGTTTGAAGTAAACCATTCACTAGCAGCATTAATATCTTGTTCCATCCTGTCCAAGAGAGACGGGATGTCTGAGTCCACACTATAGCAAGTAGTGTCATCCGCAAAAAGTATGATTTTATTGTCTAGATGTTTAGCCAAGTCGTTAATGTATAACAAAAAGAGCAACGGACCTAAAATCGAGCCTTGTGGCACTCCTATGTTAACTATTGTCATTTCAGAGTATACATTATTAAACAGAACAGTAGAAGGAGAGACAAAGAAAACGAAAAAAGCAGGAAACGGGAACAGAAAGAGAAAATAAGAAGGGGGAAGTGAGGAGTAACAAGAAGATAACCAAGAATTTGCAAAGATAGAGTAAAAGAGAATTGAAGAAAGCGGAAAGAGAGAGGACGGTAAAACGCATGGGTTAAATTTAAGTAATGGGAGGAAAAGCAGAGAATGGGCAGGGAGAGAAAAAGAAGAGTGAATAAGAGAACAAAAGTAAAAAAACGGAAAAGAAGAGACAAAGAGAGAGGCGAAGAAAAGAGAAAACTGGGGGAGTATAGAGGGAGAAATGATGAAGGAAAGAGTGAGCGAAGAAGAGAAAAAGTGAGAAAGGGTCGGAACATAATATAGCGATAGAGAGAATGGAAAAAAGTGGGGAAACAAATTGAGAGAACGCCACACATACAAGCGTAATGACTTATATGAAGGCACAAAAAAAAGGGTAGGGAGAAGAGACGAATAACAGGAGGAGAAACAAAGTGAAAGGAAAAGAAACAATAAAAGCGAGAAAAGATGGGAGGAAGTAAGGGAAAGAGACGAGAAGAAGAGCGAGAAATGAAAGGTACAAAAGAAGGAACAGAAAGAGCAAATAAGAATGAGGCAGGGAGGAGTAATAGGAGGAAACGCAAGAAGTATTGGCAAAGAGAGCGAAGGAATTATAAAAACGGGAAAACAGGAGTAACAGGGAAAAGCAGAACGGACACGAGAGAAGTGGATAAGGGAAGAGGGAAAAAAGAACAGAAGAGAAAGGATGAAAATAGGGGAAAAGAGGGGATGAAAAGAGGGAAAGTCGGAGGAGAAGGAAAAAGGAGAAAAACTGGTAAAGAAAACCAGAAAATATAGAGAGAAAAAAATTGAGACAACGGCACACAGCGAGGTATAGAGAGAAGGAATAGAAAGAGAGTAAATAGGGGGAAAAGAAAAGTAAAAAGAAGTATTGGCAAAGAGAGAGGGAAAGAAAAGAACGAAAAATTAGAGGGAAAAGACGAATAAAAAAAATGGGAAAAAGAGGAGTAACAGGGAAGAGCAGAACGGGCACGAGAAAAGTGGATAACAGAAGAGTGAAAAAAAAAAACAGAAGAGAAAGGACGAAAATAGGGGAAAAGAGAGGTGGAAAAAAGAGAAAGCCGGTGGAGAAGGAAAGAGGAGGAAAAGTGGGAAAGGAAGCCAAAAAATACACAGAGAAAAAAATTGAGGCAACGGCACACAGTGAGGTATAGGGATAGAAAGAAAATAAATAGGGGGAAGAGAGAAGCAAAAAGAAATATCGGCAAAAAGAGAGAAGGAAAGAAAAGAACGAAAAATTAGAGAAAAATAGACGAATCAAAAAAAGGGAAAAAGAGGAGTAACGGGGGAAAAGCAGGACGGGCACGAGAAAAGTGGATAAGAGAGGAGCGAAAAAAAGAACAAAAGGAGAAAGAATCGAAAATACGTGATCCGAGACCACAAAGACCCTATATTTTTCGAATAAGCACGTCGAAATCTACGTCCCAGAATTTTTTGCGGATTTTTAGACAACTTTTTCAAAATCTCAAAATTTCGAATAATCCTAACTTTTCTTGTTGTACTATTGTTACAAGATTTATTTCTTATTTCAAAAGAAAAATAAATGGGAGAACGGGCGGGTGGGCGGGGCTAAATTTAACCTTTTCTAGAGAATCTTTTATAGGCTAGCAATAGCCCCGCCCACCCTCCTCCGTTTCATTTCAGTTACTACTCTTAGTTCAGTCTTATCGTTGCAAGTACTAGCCCCACCCACCCACCCTCTATTTTCTTGGAGGTATGTGACTTGCCAAAATCAGTCTTATCTAAACAAGTACTAGTACCGCCCACCCACCCTCTTCTCATTTTTTTTTCTGTAGAAGATCCACGAATTTCGTCTTCTTTCTGCTGCAATAAATTTCGGTAGCACTATTGTTTTATATAAAAGTAATCACTGAGATGGAGGGGGTGGGTGGGCGGGGTTTATTATATGTTCCTTTGAGTGGGAGTGGCAACTGATAGAAATAAGGCTGTAAAAAAGCGCTAATCGTAGTTACAAGAGCTAGCCCCACCCGCCCACCCTCTATTTTCTTAGGGGTATGTGACTTGCAAAATCAGTTTTATTTTGACAAGTACTAGCTCCGCCCACCCCCCCTCTTCTCATTTTAGCGACTAATTTTATTTCTGTATAAGATCCACCTTTCATTCAGAACAAATAAAATTAATCACCGAAATGGAGGCGGGTGGGTGGGCGGGGCTAATATTAGCTTTTAACTAGACAATCTTATAGGCAAGCAATAGGCCCACCCACCCACCCCCTCTTCATTCTGGTGACTATTTTTAATACTGTTAATTATTGACTTATTAGAATCGTCGGCAAATCTGTTAGACCGTTAGTGAGAAAAGAGATAAATTGTTTGTTTAAATTTAGAAAATTATATAAACACATTTTCTTGTAAATTTCGACCTCTAGAAGTTATTTTCAGCTTCGTTTTTCCGATAACTTTTACAATTTTTTCGGAATCGCCCTTTGAAACATGGCAATTTTTAACATTTAATGAAAAAATTGAATTCCAAGTCGAATATTTCGAAAATCGTGATCCGAGACCACAAACACCCTATATTTTTCGAATAAGCACGTCGAAATCTACATCCCAGAATTTTTTCCGGATTTTTAGACAACTTTTTCAAAATTTCCACTATGAAAATTTCGACCATTTTCGAAAATTACCTAAACACATTTTCTTGTAGATTTCGACCTCCAGAAGTTATTTTGAGCTTGGTTTCTCCGATGATTCTTGCTATTTTTTCAGAATCACCCCTTGAAATATGGCAATTTTTAAGATTTCATAAAAAAATTGAATTCCCAGTCGAATATTTCGAAAATCGTAGTTTTATAAGAAAGTTGTGGTACCAGAGACTTTCAAGTCTCGTATGGTACTTCTAAACCCTGCTTTAAATGTGAATGCTGCTTTAATTTTTCAGAAACTGGGTTTATCTACGTTTATCTCCAAAGTTGCTTGTTTATCTCTAAAAAAAGTGAGGTTAAGATTTTTAGTTTAAGTCATTTTGTAAATAAGTAACACTAGGGACTACACCAGAGCGCCCGCATCCAAATTTTATTTAGTCATTTTAAGAAAAAATTCACTTCGACTTTTCACGGGCGCCGGTCTAAATTTTTCCTTGTGGTACCTGAGCAAGTCCCAATCGCCCCTGCATAACATAGTATCAAGTAATAATAATCTAAATGCATTTTTATTTTATTATGACGAGTAGTATGATTAGTATGTAGGACATAGCAAATACCCAATACATTAATTGTGATTATGTCATACTACAAAAAAGCTTGCTCCGGCCCTGCCGCCGGTTGGTACGGCGTCACGTTGGCAGCCCTCGCCGCTGACACCTGTCAACAATGTCATAACCCGTACTAGTGCCTTACAAATTGTTATTGTTGTTGTTTACGATTAAATGATGCGTTTGTTGCAATAATCGCCCCGATTATGTTAGAAAAAATGTCTCCGTTCCGTAAAAAGAAATCCGAGAAGAGTTTCCCCGTCAAAGTGTGCACACTAGACGCGGAACTCGAGTTCAACTTACAGGTAGATCCGCCAGCCAAGCGGCTCAATTTCTAAAAAATCGCATTCTAGTGGAGAGCTACAGGCCGGGACTTGTTCGAATTAGTCTGTCGCACGATCGGTCTGCGAGAAACGTGGTATTTCGGGCTCCAATATGAGGATTCGAAGGGATTCATATCGTGGCTGAAACTAGACAAAAAAGGTATGACGGGACGCAGGCGGTCGTTGGACGGGTTTAAGCCGTGATTGCTTGCAGTACAAGACCAAAGCATACAAAAAGACCCCCAGAGCACCGTCTCCTTCATGTTCTTCGCCAAGTTCTACCCGGAAGAGGTGGCCGAAGAGCTCGTGCAGGAAGTCACGAAGCACTACTTTTTTTTGCAAGTGAAGCAAGCCATACTCTCTATGGACGTGTATTGTCCACCTGAAGCTTCGGTTTTGTTGGCGAGTTACGCCGTCCAAGCCAAGGTACAATCGCACGCAAATGTTTTGAGCCCATGGGCGGATCGTTTTTGCCTGCCCTCACCGAAGAAGGCGGTCCAAATCCTTCAAGGGCAGAATTTGTAGGTAGGCTCAAACTACAACGAAATTTACATTTGGTAAGAAGTATTTATGGCTCACACCAGTTCTCTCAAATTTGTCGGAGAAGATTTAGCAGGTAGTTGTTCCCATAAAATAATGGTCACTTTCGTTCGTGAGTAACGATGGTCCGGACAGGAATTATTTTGCTTTCTAACATCTTTCGACCAATTGTTACGTATAAAAAATTTCATCACTTTTTCCAATAAAATACTCTTAAATGTTCATAATAAATAAGTAAATAAAAAAAAAACGATATTGTCGAGTGTCCCCTCTAAAAAATTTATGACGTCACCTCAAAATTTTCTTAAATGTATAAAATATGATGAGTTTTTATACTTGTGATTTATCACTGCATTAATATTTTTTAGATTTGATTATACAGGGTGTCTCAAAAAAGTTAATGACTGAGTCAATTTATTTTATTTAAGAAATCAAGAATAGCAAAATTGAATACTTTGAAATATTGTAGATGTTTTGAAGTTTTTGTAAGCATGGTAACTTTTTAGAAAATTTGATTAATATGCGCAAAATCAAAAATCGGAAAAAATGAAATTCACAAATGCAAAAAACAGAAAATCGAAAAATACGAATCGTAAAAATGAAAAAAATAAAATGGCTAATTAAAAAATCGAAAATTTAATGAATCAAATACCTAGGTCGTTCGAAAAGTGGAAATTCACAAACCTCAAAAATCGAAAAATCGAAAATTGAAAAACGGGAAAACCAAAAAATCGAAAAGTAATATTGAAAATTAAAAAAACAAAAACAAAAATAAAAAAATCGGAAATTAAAATAATCAACATATATGAAGTAGAAAAAATTGCAAAGCCTAAAAACTGAAATGAACAGAAAAATCGAAAAAGCAAAAAATTGGAAAAACAAAAATTCGAAAAATCTAAAATCGAAAAAGTGGAAAATCGAAAATCTGAATAAAGAAACTTGGAAATTCTGAAAATTGGAAAATCGAAAACCAAAAAATCGGGAAGTAACAACAGTTGAGAATAGAAAAATTGAAAAACCGAAAATTATAAAAATCGACAATGGACAAATTGAAAATCGCAAAATGTAAATTGAAAAATTGAACATGGAAAAATCGATGAATTGAAAAATCGAAAATTCGACTACTCGAATTTTCTAAAAATCGAAAAATCATAAAACTGAAAAATCCAAAATTCTAATGATCGAAAGTCTGAAAACTGAAAATCGAAAATTCTGAAAAGCGGAAAATAGAATATCGAAAAATTTAAAAGAAAGAAAATTGAAGTCTAAAAACCGAAGAATGGAAAAATTAAAAATCAAAAATTCGAAAAATCGAAACCGAAAAATTCAAAGATTTAAAAAGAAAATCGAAAAATCAAAAATCTGAAAATTGAAACTCGAAAATTTGGAAAATCGAAAAGTAAAAAAATTGAAGTCTAAAAGCTGAAAAATGGAAAACTGAACAATCGAAAAATCGAAAAGCCGAAAAATCGAAAATTTGATAAATCAGATATGCGAAAAACAGAAAATCTGAAAATACAAAACTGGAAAATCAAAAATCTAAAAATGGAAAAACCGAAAATCGAAAATTCAATGAATCTAATACGTAGGTCGATCGAAAAACTGGAAATTCACAAATCTGAAAAATCGAAACTTTGCAAGATTGAAAAACCGAGAATTGAAAAATCAAAAAACCGAAAAATGGAAAAATCAAAAATCGAAAAATAGGAAAACCGAAAATTCGAAAATTCATAATATTGAAAACTCTAAAAGTCGACAATTCAAAAATCAAAAAATTGGAAAGTAAAATAATCGAAAAATCGAAAAGTAAACAAATTGCAAAGCCTAAAAACTGACGAACAGAAAAATCGAAAAATCGTAAAATCAACAAGTGGAAAATCGAAAAATCGAAAATCGGAATATCGAGAATCGACAAATTAAAAAACCGAAAAATCGAAAAATTAAAAAATCGGAAATCGAAAAATGAAAAAAAAAAATTCAAAAATCGAATAATCCAAAACTAAAATAATAGAAAAGTGGAAAAGTAAAAATTGCAAAGTCTCAAAACTGACGAACAGAAAAATCGAAAAATTAAAAAAATCGAAAAATACCTAAACATGGAAAATCGGAAAATGGAAAAACCGAAAAATCGAACATCGAAAACACGAAAAATCGAAAATTCGATGAAACAAATACTCGAAAAAGCGAAAAGTAAAAAAAATTGCAAGGCCTAAAAATTGAAAAATCAAAAAATCGGAAAAATGAAAATCGAAAAAAAATAAAAAAATCGAAAAGTGGAAAATCGGAAAGTAACAAAATTGAAATCTAAAAGCTGAAGAAGGGAAAATTCTAAAAAGCAATAATCGAAAAAAGCAAAATTAAAAATTGAAAATTTGAAAAATGGAAAATCGAAAACTCGAATATCGAGATTTTGAAAAATCGTAAAAATGATAATCGCAAAATCGAAATGCTCAAAAATCGAAAATTCGATTAATCAATATTCTAAAAATCTAAAAAACGGACACAAATCCACAAATCTGAAAAATCGAAAATCGAAATATGAAAAATTAAAAAACCGAAAAATTGAAAAATCCCAAATCGAAAAATGGAAAAACCGAAAATTCAAAAATCAAACTATCGGAAAGTAAAATAATCGAAAAATGGAAAAATAAAACAAATCGCAGAACCATAAAAACTGAAACAAACAGAAAAATCTAAAAACCACAAAAGCGGAAAAACGAAAATCGAAAAATCGCAAATCGAAAAATCGTAAAATCAGAAAATGGAAAATCGAATAATCGAAAGTTGAAAAATCGAAGGTCGAAAAATAAAACAACCGAAAAATGGAAAATTTAATGATTAATGGAAAATCGAAAAATCGAGAATAGAAGAATTAAAAAACCGGAAAATTCAAAAATCGAATAATCCAAAACTAAAATAATAGAAAAGTGGAAAAGTAAAAATTGCAAAGTCTCAAAACTGACGAACAGAAAAATCGAAAAATCAAAAAAATCGAAAAATACCTAAAAATGGAAAATCGGAAAATGGAAAAACCGAAAAATCGAACATCGAAAACACGAAAAATCGAAAATTCGATGAAACAAATACTCGAAAAAGCGAAAAGTAAAAAAAATTGCAAGGCCTAAAAATTGAAAAATCAAAAAATCGGAAAAATGAAAATCGAAAAAACGACGATCGAAAAAAAAAAAATCGAAAAGTGGAAAATCGGAAAGTAACAAAATTGAAATCTAAAAGCTGAAGAAGGGAAAATTCTAAAAAGCAATAATCGAAAAAAGCAAAATTAAAAATTGAAAATTTGAAAAATGGAAAATCGAAAACTCGAATATCGAGATTTTGAAAAATCGTAAAAATGATAATCGCAAAATCGAAATGCTCAAAAATCGAAAATTCGATTAATCAATATTCTAAAAATCGAAAAAACGGACACAAATCCACAAATCTGAAAAATCGAAATATGAAAAATTAAAAAACCGAAAAATTGAAAAATCCCAAATCGAAAAATGGAAAAACCGAAAATTCAAAAATCGAACTATCACAAAGTAAAATAATCGAAAAATGGAAAAATAAAACAAATTGCAGAACCATAAAAACTGAAACAAACAGAAAAATCTAAAAACCACAAAAGCGGAAAAACGAAAATCGAAAAATCGCAAATCGAAAAATCGTAAAATCAGAAAATGGAAAATCGAATAATCGAAAGTTGAAAAATCGAAGGTCGAAAAATAAAACAACCGAAAAATGGAAAATTTAATGATTAATGGAAAATCGAAAAATCGAGAATAGAAGAATTAAAAAACCGGAAAATTCAAAAATCGAATAATCCAAAACTAAAATAATAGAAAAGTGGAAAAGTAAAAATTGCAAAGTCTCAAAACTGACGAACAGAAAAATCGAAAAATCAAAAAAATCGAAAAATACCTAAAAATGGAAAATCGGAAAATGGAAAAACCGAAAAATCGAACATCGAAAACACGAAAAATCGAAAATTCGATGAAACAAATACTCGAAAAAGCGAAAAGTAAAAAAAATTGCAAGGCCTAAAAATTGAAAAATCAAAAAATCGGAAAAATGAAAATCGAAAAAACGACGATCGAAAAAAAATAAAAAAATCGAAAAGTGGAAAATCGGAAAGTAACAAAATTGAAATCTAAAAGCTGAAGAAGGGAAAATTCTAAAAAGCAACAATCGAAAAAAGCAAAATTAAAAATTGAAAATTTGAAAAATGGAAAATCGAAAACTCGAATATCGAGATTTTGAAAAATCGTAAAAATGATAATCGAAAAATCGAAATGCTCAAAAATCGAAAATTCGATTAATCAATATTCTAAAAATCGAAAAAACGGACACAAATCCACAAATCTGAAAAATCGAAAATCGAATTATGAAAAATTAAAAAACCGAAAAATTGAAAAATCCCAAATCGAAAAATGGAAAAACCGAAAATTCAAAAATCGAACTATCACAAAGTAAAATAATCGAAAAATGGAAAAATAAAACAAATTGCAGAACCATAAAAACTGAAACAAACAGAAAAATCTAAAAACCACAAAAGCGGAAAAACGAAAATCGAAAAATCGCAAATCGAAAAATCGTAAAATCAGAAAATGGAAAATCGAATAATCGAACATCGAAAACACGAAAAGTCGAAAATTCGATGAAACAAATACTCGAAAAAGCGAAAAGTAAAAAAAATTGCAAGGCCTAAAAATTGAAAAGTCAAAAATCTGAAAATTGAAACTCGAAAATTTGGAAAATCGAAAAGTAAAAAAATTGAAGTCTAAAAGCTGAAAAATGGAAAACCGAACAATCGAAAAATCGAAAAGCCGAAAAATCGAAAATTTGATAAATCAGATATGCGAAAAACAGAAAATCTGAAAATACAAAACTGGAAAATCAAAAATCTAAAAATGGAAAAACCGAAAATCGAAAATTCAATGAATCTAATACGTAGGTCGATCGAAAAACTGGAAATTCACAAATCTGAAAAATCGAAACTTTGCAAGATTGAAAAACCGAGAATTGAAAAATCAAAAAACCGAAAAATGGAAAAATCAAAAATCGAAAACTAGGAAAACCGAAAATTCGAAAATTCATAATATTGAAAACACTAAAAGTCGACAATTCAAAAATCAAAAAATTGGAAAGTAAAATAATCGAAAAATCGAAAAGTAAACAAATTGCAAAGCCTAAAAACTGACGAACAGAAAAATCGAAAAATCGTAAAATCAAAAAGTGGAAAATCGAAAAATCGAAAATCGGAATATCGAGAATCGACAAATTAAAAAACCGAAAAATCGAAAAATTAAAAAATCGGAAATCGAAAAATGAAAAAAAAAAAATTCAAAAATCGAATAATCCAAAACTAAAATAATAGAAAAGTGGAAAAGTAAAAATTGCAAAGTCTCAAAACTGACGAACAGAAAAATCGAAAAATCAAAAAAATCGAAAAATACCTAAAAATGGAAAATCGGAAAATGGAAAAACCGAAAAATCGAACATCGAAAACACGAAAAATCGAAAATTGGATGAAACAAATACTCGAAAAAGCGAAAAGTAAAAAAAATTGCAAGGCCTAAAAATTGAAAAATCAAAAAATCGGAAAAATGAAAATCGAAAAAACGACGATCGAAAAAAAATAAAAAAATCGAAAAGTGGAAAATCGGAAAGTAACAAAATTGAAATCTAAAAGCTGAAGAAGGGAAAATTCTAGAAAGCAACAATCGAAAAAAGCAAAATTAAAAATTGAAAATTTGAAAAATGGAAAATCGAAAACTCGAATATCGAGATTTTGAAAAATCGTAAAAATGATAATCGAAAAATCGAAATGCTCAAAAATCGAAAATTCGATTAATCAATATTCTAAAAATCGAAAAAACGGACACAAATCCACAAATCTGAAAAATCGAAAATCGAAATATGAAAAATTAAAAAACCGAAAAATTGAAAAATCCCAAATCGAAAAATGGAAAAACCGAAAATTCAAAAATCAAACTATCGGAAAGTAAAATAATCGAAAAATGGAAAAATAAAACAAATCGCAGAACCATAAAAACTGAAACAAACAGAAAAATCTAAAAACCACAAAAGCGGAAAAACGAAAATCGAAAAATCGCAAATCGAAAAATCGTAAAATCAGAAAATGGAAAATCGAATAATCGAAAGTTGAAAAATCGATGGTCGAAAAATAACCGAAAAATGGAAAATTTAATGATTAATAGAAAATCGAAAAATCGAGAATAGAAGAATTAAAAAACCGGAAAATTCAAAAATCGAATAATCCAAAACTAAAATAATAGAAAAGTGGAAAAGTAAAAATTGCAAAGTCTCAAAACTGACGAACAGAAAAATCGAAAAATCAAAAAAATCGAAAAATACCTAAAAATGGAAAATCGGAAAATGGAAAAACCGAAAAATCGAACGTCGAAAACACGAAAAATCGAAAATTCGATGAAACAAAACTCGAAAAAGCGAAAAGTAAAAAAAATTGCAAGGCCAAAAAATTGAAAAATCAAAAAATCGGAAAAATGAAAATCGAAAAAACGACGATCGAAAAAAAATAAAAAAATCGAAAAGTGGAAAATCGGAAAGTAACAAAATTGAAATCTAAAAGCTGAAGAAGGGAAAATTCTAAAAAGCAACAATCGAAAAAAGCAAAATTAAAAATTGAAAATTTGAAAAATGGAAAATCGAAAACTCGAATATCGAGATTTTGAAAAATCGTAAAAATGATAATCGCAAAATCGAAATGCTCAAAAATCGAAAATTCTAAAAATCGAAAAAACGGACACAAATCTGAAAAATCGAAAATCGAAATATGAAAAATTAAAAAACCGAAAAATTGAAAAATCCCAAATCGAAAAATGGAAAAACCGAAAATTCAAAAATCGAACTATCACAAAGTAAAATAATCGAAAAATGGAAAAATAAAACAAATCGCAGAACCATAAAAACTGAAACAAACAGAAAAATCTAAAAACCACAAAAGCGGAAAAACTAAAATCGAAAAATCGCAAATCGAAAAATCGTAAATTCAGAAAATGGAAAATCGAATAATCGAAAGTTGAAAAATCGAAGGTCGAAAAATAAAACAACCGAAAAATGGAAAATTTAATGATTAATAGAAAATCGAAAAATCGAGAATAGAAGAATTAAAAAACCGGAAAATTGAAAAATCGAGAATTCAAAAATCAAAAAAATCGGAAAGTAAAATATAATCGAAAAATACAAAAAAATTGCAAAGTCCAAAAGCTGACGAACAGAAAAATCAAAAAATCTAAAAATGGAAAAACGAAAAATCAAAAAAACGAAAAATTAAAAAATCGAAAAACGAAAAAACTGAAAACTCGAAAATTCAAAATACCGCAAACTTGAAAAATCAGAAAATTGGAAAGTAATAAAATCGAAAAGTTGATAGAAAAATGGAAACTGAAAAATCTAATTCGATGAAACTGTTGGTCGAAAAAACGAAAAATCGAAAATCGAAGTGACCTTTTTTTGAGACAGGCTGCATAAGCAAATCTAAAAAATATTACTGCAATGACAAATCACAGGTATAGACTCATCATATCAAATTTTACGATGACGTCATGCATTTTTTGGCGAAGATAAGCAAATACATTTTGATCGTGGCTTTGAAAGTATTCTTCGACTTTCGTTCCATTTCAAAATTTACTCTTTGTACATTTCAGTGGTCACAACGAGTTCACTAACTACGCTGAAGTATGCAAAGATTAAATTTGTCACCGAAAAGATGTCGGAAGTAATAAATTATCCTATCGGTCGAAGAACGTTCGGTCCGGTCTTACACCTCGACCCAAGAGAGACCCCAGATAACAAATGGAACGGATAAAATAAAGCGTCAAATATGATTGATAAACTTTAAACCAAAATTATGAAGTTTATAAACCGAACATTTTTTTGCTTTTTGAAATGTAATACACTTCAAAAAATGTCCGTGACTTACTTTAATGTGAATTTTATAACTATGGTCGGCACAATTAGACCTAATATTAGTGTGATTTTGAGCATATTCTCGATGTTATTAGAGCAGGACAGGTTTTTTTTTCTAACTAATTGACAAGATTTCTATGTATTCAGTTTTGCAATTCTTGATTTCTTCAATAAAATAAATTGACTCAGTCATTTTTTTTTGAGTCACCCTGTATGTATAAACAAATCCAAAAAATCTTAATGGAATGGTAAATCAAAAAGTATAGACTCATCATATTCTGAACATTTTAGGTAGGGTATTTATAAAATTAAAACTAATTCAGGGTAAGAATTTGGTCAACACGTAAATTTCGTTGTAGTTTGAGCCTACCTACAAATTCTGCCCTTGGACGATTAGGACCGCCTCCTTCGGTGACGACAGGCAAAAATGATCCGCCCATAGGCTCAAAACATTTGTGCACTTGATTAGTTCGATTGTTTGCCGCATGGCGCCACTTTCGCATTTTATTATTGCTTTCAGTTTGGAGATTTCGATTTAGACACTTATAAGCCGGGAATGCTAGCGAACGAAGACTTGCTACCTCAGCGCGTGATCGACCAATACCAAATGACGTTGGACATGTGGGAGGAGCGGATAAGGGTGTGGTATTCGGACCACAGGGGCATGTCGAGGGACGAGGCGGAAATGGAATACTTGAAAATCGCCCAAGATCTCGATATGTACGGTGTTAATTATTTTCCTATTACGAATAAAAAAGAGACTGAGTTGTGGTTAGGTGTGACTCCCTTAGGCCTCAATATTTACGAAAAAGAGAATAAGTTGCAACCAAAAACGACGTTCACGTGGGCGGAAATAAGGCACATCAGTTTCGACGACAAAAAATTCATCATCAAACCGGTGGACAAGAATTCTCCAAATTTCGTCTTCTTTAGTCAAAAAGTTAGGATGAATAAATTGGTAAAGAGTAAAACCCGGGTTTGAAAATAAATTAATCTGTTTTTTGTGTGTGTCCAGATTCTAGATTTATGCATGGGCAACCACGACCTGTTCATGCGAAGACGAAAACCCGACTCCATGGAGCTCCAACAAATGAAGGCGGCGGCGAAAGAAGAGAAACAGCGACGACAAATCGAGAGAAACCGCCTGGCGCGTGAAAAGCAGCTGCGCGAAGAGGCGGAGCGAGAGCGAGCCAATCTGGAACAAAGGTTGCTTCAGTACCAAGAGGAAATCCGGCTGGCCAATGAGGCTCTGGTAACACTTCTTACCCCCTCCTATTTCTCGTGTAGCTCGTCGTGATTGGTTGCAGAAACGCTCCGAAGAAAGCGCCGACCTCCTGGCCGAGAAAAGCCGAGTGGCGGAAGAAGAAGCCATTCTTCTTAGTCAGAAGGCGTCGGAAGCCGAACAGGAAATCACCCGTTTACGACTCACCGCGATGCGCAAGGAAGAGGAAAAGGTTACGCTGGAACGTAAGACTCGGGAGGCGGAAATGTTGACGGCTCGACTGGTCGAGGACTCGGAACGACGTGCCGCCGAAGCGAACCGGCTCAAGGAGGAGTTGCTGAGGGCCAGGGCCGCCGAAAAGTTAGCCAAAGAGAAACTGCTGGATTTTTTAAGTCGGGGCTCGTTTACCAGCTCAGCCACCACCAGCCCCATCTCAGTACGTGAGAAAGTAATCGGTTCGGTAGTTTTAGCGGTTTTTTTATTCTCGAGCGTAAGCTGAGGAAGTATTGTAATCGAGTTCATCCAGTTGGTAAAAGTCAACAAAAAATTGGGTGATCGTCTCCAAAATTTACGATAGTAAATTTGTTCTTATTTTTATAAAATAAGACAATCTTGTACTTGTGGTGTATGAATCCGTGTTGAGTTTTCAGCCTAAACAACCAAATTTTTGAAAAAAAAAATCGAAATTATATAACATTTTGCAATTTAACGTTGAAAGAAAACAAAACAATTTTTCGGTATTACAATTTTTCGTTTTAAAGAAATTAAAGAATCGAAAAATTATAAATAAGTAAATAAATAAATAAATTTACGTATAAATGAAAAAGCTTTAAAATCCAATAATGAAAACAATTAAAAAAATCTAAAATCGAAAACTGAAATAATGTTGTTTTTTTAATTATAATTATTATTACATAATTAAAATGAAAACTAGAAAAATTGCAAATCAAAAATTGAAAAATCGAAAATTTGAAACTCAAAAATTGTAAATCGAAAAACTGAAAAATTTTGAAATAAAACAACACCGAAAAATTGGAAAATACAGAAAAAACCAAAACGAAAAATTGAAAAAACAAAAGATTGTAAAATCGAAACATTAAAAATTCGAAAAATCGTAATAATAAAGAAAATAAAATACCGAAACAAGAAATGGAAAAATTAAAAGTTGAAAACTCGAGAAATTTTGAATCGAAAATCTGCAAATTTAAAAATTGAAGCAACAATAAAATTGTAAAATAAAAAAATTATAACTAAGTAAATTAAGAAATAAATTTACGTATAAATGGAGAAGTTTTAAAATTCAATAATTGAAAAATGAAAAAATTCTAAAATAGTAAAACTGAAAAAATTAAGATTCTTACATAATGAAAATGAAAACTAGAAAAATTGACAATCAAAATTTGAAGAAACGAAAAATTAAAAAATATAAAAGCAGAAAAATTTCACATTGAAAAAAGAAAAATTTTAAAATCAAAACAATGAAAAATTGAAAACATAAAGAAAATGAAAAACCGAAACGAAAAGTTGACAAATCTAAAAAGTGAAACATTCAAAACTTGGAAAATCGAAAAACTGAAAAAAAAACAAAAAAATGAAAAACCAAAAAATTGAAAAAACGAAAGATTAAAAAATCGGAACATTGAAAATTCGAAAAATTGTAAAAATAAAGAAAATAAAAACCGAAGCAAAAAATTACAAATCGAAATTTGAAGAAAAAAAAAATTAAAAAAAACCATAATTGTAAAATCAAAAAATTATAAAATAGTAAATAAATTTACGTACAAATGAAAACTTTAAAACCAAAAATTGACAAAAAACGATAAAAATTGTAAAATCGTAAAATTGAAAAAAAAATTTAATTATAATTATTACATAATTAAAATGAAAACTAGAAAAATTGCAGATCAAAAATTGAAGAAACAGAAACTGAAAAATCTAAAATTGAAAACCGAAAAATTTTAAACTCAGAACAACGAAAAACCGAAAACTTGAAAAAAATAAAGAAAATGAAAATCCGAAACGAAAAATTACAAATCGAAAAATTGAAAAAACAAAGAATGTAAAATCGAAACATTCAAAAATGGAAAAATCGTAATAATAAAGAAAATAAAATACCGAAACAAGAAATTGAAAAATTAAAAGTTGAAAACTCGAGAAATTTTGAATCGAAAATCTGCAAATTTAAAAATTGAAGCAACAATAAAAATGAAAAATTGAAAAATCGCAAATCGAAAAATTGAAGAAACGAAAACTTGAAAACCCCCAAAATTGTAAAATCAAAAAATTATAAATAAGTAAATAAATAAATAAATAAATAAATTTACGTATAAATGAAGAAGTTTTAAAATTCAATAATTGAAAAATGAAAAAATTCTAAAATAGTAAAACTGAAAAAAATTAAATTCTTACATAATTAAAATGAAAACTAGAAAAATTGACAATCAAAATTTGAAGAAACGAAAAATTAAAAAATATAAAAGCAGAAAAATCGAAAAATTGAGAACCAAAAAACTGAAAAAATCAAAAATTTGAAAAATTTCACATTGAAAAAAGAAAAATTTTAAAATCAAAACAACGAAAAATTGAAAACATAAAGAAAATGAAAAATCGAAACGAAAAGTTGACAAATCTAAAAAGTGAAACATTCAAAACTTGGAAAATCGAAAAACTGAAAAAAAAACAAAAAAAAAAGAAAAACCAAAAAATTGAAAAAACGAAAGATTAAAAAATCGGAACATTGAAAATTCGAAAAGTTATAAAAATAAAGAAAATAAAAAACCGAAGCAAAAAATTACAAATCGAAATTTAAAGAAAAAAAAATTAAAAAAAAACCATAATTGTAAAATCAAAAAATTATAAAATAGTAAATAAATTCGCGTACAAATGAAAACTTTAAAACCAAAGATTGACAAAAAATGATAAAAATTCTAAAATCGTAAAATTGAAAAAAAAAATTTAATTATAATTATTACATAATTAAAATGAAAACTAGAAAAATTTCAGATCAAAAATTGAAGAAACAGAAACTGAAAAATCTAAAATTGAAAAAGCGATGAATTAAAAAATCTTAAAACATGAAAAATTTTAAATTGAAAACCGAAAAATTGCAAAATCCAAAAATTGAATATTTTCACATTGAAAAAAGAAAAATTTTAAACTCAGAACAACGAAAAACCGAAAACTTGAAAAAAATAAAGAAAATGAAAAACCAAAACGAAAAATTACAAATCGAAAAATTGGAGAAACGAAAAATTGAAAAAACAAAGAATGTAAAATCGAAAAATCGTAATAATAAAGAAAATAAAATACCGAAACAAGAAATTGAAAAATTAAAACTTGAAAACTCGAGAAATTTTGAATCGAAAATCTGCAAATTTAAAAATTGAAGCAACAATAAAAATGAAAAATTGAAAAATCGCAAATCGAAAAATTGAAGAAATGAAAACTTGAAAACCCCCAAAATTGTAAAATCAAAAAATTATAAATAAGTAAATAAAGAAATAAATAAATAAATTTACGTATAAATGAAGAAGTTTTAAAATTAAATAATTGAAAAATGAAAAAATTCTAAAATAGTAAAACTGAAAAAAATTAAGATTGTTACATAATTAAAATGAAAACTAGAAAAATTGTAGATCAAAAATTGAAGAAACAGAAACTGAAAAATCTAAAATTGAAAAAGCGATGAATTAAAAAATCTTAAAAGTTGAAAAATCGAAAAATTGCAAAATCCAAAAATTGAAAATTTTCACATTAACAAAAGAAAAATTTTAAAATCAGAACAACGAAAAATCGAAACGAAAAATTGAAGAAATGAAAAATTGAAAAAACACAAAATATAAAAAACTGTCGAATTGCAAGGCGAAAATTTGAAGAATTGAAAAATTAAAAAAATGAAAAGTTGAGAAATTTTGAATCGAATAATTGCTAAATCTAAAAATTGAAGAAACAAAAAATTAAAAATCGTAACAATAAAGAAAATAAAAGACCAAAACGAAAAATTAAATAATCGAAAAATTGAAAAATTATAAATTGAAAACTCCAGAAATTTTGAATCGAAAACTGCAAATTCAAAAATTGAAAATGGCCAAAATTGTAAAATCGAAGAATTATAAATTAGTAAATAATTAAATTTACGTATAGACGAAAAACTTGGAAACCAAAAATTGTCAAAAAGTGACAAAAATTTTAAAATCGTAAAAATGAAAATTAGAAAAATTGCAAATCAATAATTATAGACGCGGCAAATTGAAAAATCGAAAACTGAAAATTTTAAAATTGAAAAGACTAAGAATTAAAAAATCTAAAAAGCTGAATAATCGAAAAATTAAAAACCGAAAAATTGGAAAATCCAAAAATTGAAAAATTTCACATTGAAAAAAGAAAAATTTTAAAATCAAAACAACGAAAAACCGAAAACTTGAAAAAACTGTTGCTTCGTGACCAACAACATGCTATATTTTTGGAATCAGCGTCTCGAGATCTACGTCCCCGAATTTTTTCATAATTTTTAGACAACTTTTTTAAAATTGAAATGTTTCAATGGTCCCCCCTTCTTCAAATTTCGCAAAAATTTTGACATTTTCGAAACCCAACCAAACACATTTTCTTGTAGATTTCGAGCTCCAGAACTCAAATCCGTCTTCGGTTTATTGATACCTGCAACCGTTTTTTCAGAATCGACCGTTGAAATTTCGAAATTTTTGAAATTTTCAAAAATTCGCGTTTGGCAGCGGTTTTTTCGAAACTGTTGCTTCGTGACCATCAACATGCTATATTTTTGGAATCAGCGTGTCGAGAACTACGTCCCTGAATTTTTTCATAATTTTTAGACAACTTTTTTAAAATTGAAATTTTTCTATGGTCCCCCCTTCTTCAAATTTCGCAAAAATTTTGACATTTTCGAAACTCAACTAAATACATTTTCTTGTAGATTTCGAGCTCCAGAACTCAAATCCGGCTTCGGTTTTTTGATACCTGCAACCGTTTTTTCAGAATCGACCGTTGAAATTTCGAAATTTTTGAAATTTTCAAAAATTCGCGTTTGGCAGCGATCTTTTCGAAACTGTTGCTTCGTGACCATCAACATGCTATATTTTTGGAATCAGCGTGTTGAGAACTACGTCCCTGAATTTTTTCATAATTTTTAGACAACTTTTTTAAAATTGAAATTTTTTAATGGTCCCCCCTTCTTCAAATTTCGCAAAGATTTTGACATTTTCGAGACTCAACTAAATACATTTTCTTGTAGATTTCGAGCTCCAGAACTCAAATCCGGCTTCGGTTTTTTGATAGCTGCAACCGTTTTTTCAGAATCGACCGTTGAAATTTCGAAATTTTTAAAATTTTCAAAAATTCGCGTTTCGCAACGATTTTTTCGAAAATGTTGCTTCGTGAGTGAAATCGAAAAATTCTAAAATTATAAAATGAAAACAA